GGGTGCCCCAGGATGCTGCCTTATATACATGAGGGAAAACCCCCCAGGGACCGATAATGGACCCCTGGTACCTAGCTGGGTAAGGATTACTAAGTATCATGTGCTCTATGATGTCATATATGATGTCATAGTCTGGCCCTGCCCTGCCCTGGGCCTAGGGTCCAGAATTGACCGGCCTATGGCCTAGTGCCTGAGCCTAGCTCCTACCTATGATGTCAGAATGATGTCATGGTCCAAAAGGAGTCTGGTTTCTATCTAGAAAAGGTCCGGCATCAGAGTTTAGCCTGATGTGTCCAGAACAAGATCATGTATCGCTTATTTAAGCGGGTAACCCCTTAGATATGCAGTTGTACCCATATGCGGACGGATAAGTATGGATAAGTCCCTATACCCTTTGATATGTCCGCAGAAATAGCGGAAAAATTAGGTAAAATTAGGGAAACTGTGACAAGAAGATTGCATGTACATGTGTGAGTGATGGTCATGTGCGTGTACAGGGACATGGCTGTGGCTACGATGAACTGGCAGGTAGCCGCGTGTTGCTGCAGATAACAGTGAAAAGGACAATACCCTGTGAATATAAATGATCTCGGCGAGTACAGTGTTCATCGTATATGGTGATGTGTGCAGAACGACTCAGGCCACAGGTATGATTTGCACACTTGAGCTTCTTGGTCCCATACTCCAACAAAACAATAGTAGTATGGTTATAGACTATATCGCAGCGTGTATTGCACTCAGTTCCACATTCCGGGTCCCCAAAAATACATGTGTGGAGGCGATTTGGAAACTCGGTAGCACAATCTGTTCAAGTGTCCATTTTGAATCCAAACAAAAGCCCAAAGGATGCCTCGCTAACGTATTGCCACAGTGATTGTACTCAAAGGTCACTGTGGCTGGTCAGTGAACAATGTACTTGAGTTCCTGCAACTCAACCTACCTTCGGGCAAGCAGAACTCCTCGCTGAAGCACTCAGTGATCACGACACCAGGTGTCCCCATTCCAGGGCGAGTGTGCAGCCTCAAGCCCATACCACCGAACATGTGTTCCGGTGGCGATGGTTCTACCAAAGCTGTGGAAAGGTTCTGAAGCTTGCCTACTCTCAGAGTGACACCTTCGAGGCCTTCACTAAGTGGTGTGCAGTGGAAACACACGCCGAGAACCTACTCATCCTTTGGAAGGAGCGGGATGCTGCTGATGCATCACGCTCCCCACTGCACGTGAGGCCTCCTCAGGCTCAAGCTCAGCATCCCATCAAGGAACAGCAGACAGGGTGGCAGATGACCCCACCCCACCCTCCTCACCTCTATCTGGAAGCAAGAGAGGTGAGGAGGGTGGGGTGGGGTTGACCTGCGCTTCCCTCCCTCAAAGGTGCGCACCATGCTACGACAAAGACATCCTGTGAGGTGTGCACTGTTAAACACTTCCATATGAGGGCACGGAGTCCATTGGTAATAACTCGGTCGCACTCATATAATCCCCTTGAATTAAAAAAGACGGGACTGGATTTCACAACGCTCTCATGCATGTCGCATGTGTTCATGCGTTGCATAGATGCCTGAGTGCACATGTTTAGCGGCAGAGATGTCACAGGCCAATCTCAATGCAGTACATACGCCTGCGCGCGAATCACTCGAGCCACATCATCATCGACATCCATGGTAGGGTGTATATTGCACCGGGAGCGAATGTAGGTCATCATGCAATATGCCGCTTGGATGCGCTAACCCTGTCACCTTGTCCTGACATCAGACCTATCTCTGGTAGCCCGTAGGGAGTGAATGTCATGTTAGGCTCTCCGCCTGAGAATGGCCCCGTAGAACTTCCGATTGTAGGAAAATCAACCCACCAGTTCCCTGGTGGAATAGTATATGCACAATAGAACTCGCCTGCATACCTTTATTCGACAATCAAATTACAAATTCGCCCTTGCTTTTCTCGGTCACAATACAATGTCTTCGGGCTTGTTCAACAAACGTCCTTCCATACCACCCTCTACCATGATCACCTGCCCAGAAACGTGGCCAGACACAGCAGTGGACGACACGAAGACGACCTGTGTCGCAACATCCCCGGGCGTTGCCACTTTCTTTAGTGGCATGCTGGAAAACAGTTAATCCTGCATATAGACCCATCGGGGCACATGAGGGGACGTACGTGGCCAGAGCGCGGTAGACAATCTCGGGATTCTCGAGGGCATGCGCGGCCATGGGTGTCTTGACCCAACCTACATGCGTGGCGTCAACGCCATGCTTGATGTGAAAACCTGAGATCGAGGAAGCGAACCAGGTGCAATACAATTCACGCGTCCCTTGGGCGCGATCTTGACAATCTCATTCTTGAGGGTCATCAAGAGTCCATACATCATGCCTGGACAATTTGAATGTGTGTCAGCGATAGAAGCCCGAGCCGTGCAAGAGATTGCACGTACCACTCTTGGCCGCCGAGTAGTCGGCATGACCGAATTCCCCGTATTTCCCTGCTGTGCTCCCGATCATCACGATGGCAGCCTTGTCCTTCTCCGCGGCAGTCGCGTCTTCGAGATGCCTAAGATACTCCCGGACTACCAAGAAGGATGACGTGAGGTTGGAGTTCATCGTCGAATTCCACTGCGCGAGAGTCATGCGTGACACGGGTACATCGTTCGGAGGGTAATAGCCATGATTGACGACGAGCACCTGTACCGCACCAAAGCCCTCGGTCTTGACGTTCATCATGCGAATGGCATCTTCCTCCTGGGCGAGATTGGCCTGGATGGTGCGAACGCGTGTTGGGCCGTACTCGGCCACCAAAGGATCAAGTGTGGAGGAGGTGGTATTGTAGTGAGCTGTGATCTTGGCTCCTTGCTCTTCCAGTCCGACTCCGGAGTAAGTTTCGGCGGCTTCGTTCACGGCAACATTGACTCACTCAAGTAGAGACGGCATGTTGCTAGACCTATCCCGCCACTTGCACCTGGAGCATAATCTCACTTCAGTGTGTTAAAAGCTACATATCTGAAGCACACCCACCTGTCACCAGAACATGAACATCATTGAGAGCGAGGTCCATCATTGGGCGCCTGAGAGTATACTCTATAGTGGGCGTCTATATCAACACAAGCGAGCCGGCAGCGGAGCGGAGGTCCTCACTGCCTCGTAACTTGACTACAACCAGTGCACTAGAACTCGAGCTTTTTCAAGGATCTTGTTCGACGGCGAGAAAACAGTCAGCTTGACTGGGTGCAGCGAAGGATATAGGCCCCGCTATCTGGATTGCGCATCTACTGCCACACGGATTCCGAGTCGGGCCGCCGCTGTGATCTCGACTCAGGACTCAATATATTCAGGGGCAACGGCAGGCGTAGTGCGCTTCCACGGTGTAGCCTGACAGCAACGGGTGTGGCTGCCCAGAGCCAGCTGTCATGCAGACACCACACATGGACCCCCGCGATCTGTCGCGGTTTCATGTTCAGAGGTACGTCTTTTCCTTCAAGCACCGGCGTAGTAACGTGGAACAGTGTATTGCAGCTCAGATGTCATATCTGACATGCGAGTGAACGTGTCGGAGGAAGGCTCAGATAAGGTACTTTGGTACAAGGCAAGTCTACCTATCCTTTGGGCTGCGCATCCACCTAACCTCCATTCATTAAGGAAAGATTCCTCGCAGACGAGGAGATCATTGAGCACCTTGTTGTGAGTGGCCCTGTCTGAAGTGGCCACACGTACCTGTCTAAAGTCCGCTCAGGAAAATGCTTCGTCAACCATACTATGGACGATCCACCGTCCGAAACGCGGGTGGTATATCCGCCTGAGCACGCCGTCCTTCCCACCCGGCATGTTCATCCCGCTCCTCCCCCTCCCTCAGACGTCCCCATATCATGCCGATTCTGCGCTCACCTTCGCGTGCCGGACGAACCCGCCATCGTATTCACTTAGCACCACGCCACGGACGGCGTTCTCTGACTCGGCCCGCGACTCAATGGACTCGGATATTACAGTCACAGAAGGCCCGCGCGAGGCCGTGCACTCATATCCTCCAACGCCGCCCCCTCAGACACCCATTGTAGTCGTGCGGCCTCCCTCGCCAACCGCTGTGCAGGCAAAGCTTGAAGAGATCGCACCCTCGCCATCCTCATCGTCGGCACCAATGAAGCGATTGAAGCGACCCCCGCCTTCGCCCCTCTCCCCCATCACGCATTTCCTTCTAACTCCACATTCTGCGCCGCTTATCCCCCAGGCACCTCCGAGCACGTCGCTATTCACACGCGTTATGTCCGCCCTGAAGAACAACGCGCCCTCACACTCTTATTCCTTCACGCTCTCACCAATTCCACCTCTGCAGCCTCCCGTCACCAGCCCAGGCGGCCAGCGCAACGCTCCGACGCCGACGCCAATACCTCTCCTGACCTTCCACGACCGTACGCCTGTGTGGACTGTGCGGTCAAGTTCCGGATATATTGAGGTAGACAGGACGCAGGTACGAATGCTCGGTGTGGACACGAGCTTCTATGTCGCCGTGGCCTTGACATACTTCGAGTTCCTAGAGGAGAAGGAGGTGAGTAGGACGGATCACATCTGGGTCAAAGTTCATGTTCTTTATTCGCAGAGTTACCTGGCCGCTCTCAACGATTGATGTCCGTGCATGCGCCCTTAGGATTCGTGTCTACCGGCTTCTTTTCCTGCGGAACGGGATACCCTATCGCTATCACTAAATGCAATGTAACGCTGTGGTGTGCTAGTCACTGGCCTGGATATAAACATTGATATTGGTATGATCCGAAGTCAGCTTGTTTGGGGAACAGGAGTCGCGTGGTAAGCACACTTCAACATCGCTCCTTCACTATGGTACACTATGGTAAGCGGTGCGACTATGACTTCGTCTTCATTCTGCTCCATATAGTGGGTCGTAGGGTCTCGCGGGGACTGTCATCAAGTGTGGCAAAGTTTGCTAACAGAGCATATTTCGAAATGCCAAAACAATCGCTCGAAACCTATTAGAACGACACAATCCCAGGATGCCAAATAACTGATGATACAATACAATAAGATAACAGTGCGCTCGCAAAATAGTCAAACGGATGTGTCACCGTAATCGGCCAGTACAATTCTATCTCGCTGTGGTTTCATGACTATCGGCGCCCTCATCCGTGGACGAGCCTGCCTTCAACACCCAGGGACGCGAGAGCCATGCAGGCGATCAAAGGGGCATAGTACAACCTGTTAACCCAGGTATACGTTGCGTGCAGCATCATAACGCCTGAACCCGACAGCTGCGTCGAGTTGTCAGACATGCTGACGAGATCACTTGACTGCGCGGCAATTTCGCTGAGTGCTGCAGCGGTGTGGTCGCTGTTCCACAGAGCGTGGAAGACGAATGGGATCGCCCAGGCGAGGAGAAGAACAATCTGAGACGAGAACAGTTAGCGGCCGACACCGCGCGGCATGTGCCAAGACCAGCGATGGCACGTACAAACATCAGCATCGCAACGCGGGGATCTTCCTTCTTGTCGGTCTTCCAAATCCTCCTCGCCGCGACATGGAGAGCGTACAACAACATGATCTTCAATTATAGGACAACTGAAAGATGGATCGTGCTTCTCGAGTCCTTCGGATTAGGGGGTCTGGATTTGTCCCGTCAGCAGCGAAGGGAGTGGCATGAAGTACACGACAAACATACAGGGTAGTAGTGGGGTTAGTTGCGCGGCCTCGTCGACGACTAGGGGCTAGAGCGATGAGGCTTGGGAGTGGCGGGACGGACCATTAATATACTCGTCAATAGAGCCCGGAGGCGCTGCATCAACAGCCACAATGAGTACACCGAGCCTGTAAAGGAAAACAAGTTCTTCGGATTCTGGGGCGATGTGAACGGCTTCCGAGAAGTGCAAGGAGAACGCACAGCTCAGCATAGCAGCACAAGCTCTAGACTGCGATCCCATTGCCGTCTGTCACAATGTGCAGCGTGTTGGCATCGCGCCTGTGTTCATGAGTGCGGTCGTGATCGGGAGTAGACGAACGTTTGATCGAGGTCAGCCTCGCGAGCGCGGTGGCGTATCAAGACACACTAGAAGGTGGCCACCGACATTCAGTATGTGCACGAGGCATACAGCAAACTAAGGTACGGCAAAGTTACAGGCGATCTGCGCACCGTGAACAATAGGCTATGAGACACCCTCACGGGCACTTGTGCCTGCTGTTCGTATCGTACGGAAGATGCTCTTATAACAGACAGGGTCTTGTATAATGCACGCCGTGTAAAGTTGCACTGCCTATTGGCGAAGGCATAGAAGGCAGTTCTGTGATGCTGCGGGACGTGGGAGGGTGAACCACACAGGACGCGAGGCAGATGATTAGGAGCACTCTTCCCAGAGACGGCAGAGACGCCAAAGCCGCACCCGACTGTCATATGAAGAATCTGAGACTGGGCCTTGGGCACTGTGATAACATTGCTCAAACCAGTTGATCGCAGATTGTCGGATGAATGCCATGTACTCTTGGAAATGGTGTCCATTCCTGCCACTGCAGACTATGCCATGTTTCTTTAAGCACCCAACAAGCTTGAGAGTCCAGACTCACTTGTGGAACATTCCACAGGGTCATGAATACAATTCGTCGTCACAAATGTTTGGTTACGGATGGGCCCGGACACGATGCGACTGTATCCCTTGGAATCACATCACATTATGATGTTAAATGTCCCTTCAACTCATGGTGAGAAGGCTGCTGCAATTTGGAGACCCAATGTGTCGTTGTTTATGATAAAGCTCGGTGACAAACGTAGAGGTCTATACGCACGGATCTTGAGCATTCGCCAGGCTCAGCGGCGATCTCTGGCAAGTGTCGACCTGGGATAGGGTCGGACTTCGCGCATCCCGGGTCCTAGCTGTTTTGTGGTTTGTGTTAAGGATTGTATGTCGCGATACCTGAAGCCCTGGGGATCGTGCTATTAATCACTGCGCTAGGGAAGTACTGAAGATGACCGACGCACCAAAACCTCATTGCGGTGTAGACACTTCTGAATCCCAATGCGCTCACGTGATCGCGCCAATGCCGCATCGCCGCGTCTGCTCGCGTCTTGGTCGTCGCCCTCATGCGCTCGACCTGATGACTCTAGAGCCTACCGTCAGATCCCGCGTGCAGCTCTATTCATAGCTGAGAAGAGAAGAGATCTCGCGGGATGCCGCCTGGACCCGTGTTCAATTGGTTCTGTGTCGCCCATTCTTTCGTCGACATCCTTTCCCATGCCGTACAAATTCGAGCAGCTCAAATTCCACTACAATCCGCCTCTGTAGGTGTGACCAACTCAGCAGCTGCACGGAAAAGACATGCCGCCTCTGCGGCCAGACGAGAGGCAGCGACTACGCTTCAGAGAGCTCCTCTGGCAGCACCCCCCGACAAACTTGATCTGTCTACTTCACGAATCACATCCCGTGTGCATCAGCAGTCTGACTCAGAGTCACCCACTCCGTCTATTGAAGCAGCCTTAACTCGGCATATACCAATAGACGTCAAGCCAGCTACTAAGTCGGGCGTCAAGTCTGGCGAACCACCTGTGTCCAAAGACGTACTCCAGGTGGCTCATCAAACCGTGCAAACGTCCGGGGCTATCGAGACCAACTCGTCTGTGATTCCAGGGATTATTGAACTAGCCGCAGAAGTAGGTACATGCTTTGCCATATCTGTTCGCGCGAAGCGCGCACTTGTGCCACAATGCTATCCTTTGGTTAAGATTTCGCGTGTTTCTTCGATACATGCCATGGATAGTTACTCAGCTATCGTTGCCGCTTTCTCAGCCCGTCTTCCCCGCTGCACCTTCTCGTAAGCTTCAATCATCCAAGGTCCCCTCATCCCGGATCGGACGTTTCTTCCATTATGGAGGTGCGTGCATGCATATGTCCCGACTAGAAATGTGTCTCATCTTCTCTTTCTACGTTCGTTCAGGGCTGGCAGCGTCTTTAGGGTATGGTGCAGCGTCCGAGCTACTACGGCGCTCCACAAGTTCCGATGACCACCAATCACCATCGCTCGTGCTGACGGAGGGCAATGTCAAGCGCCTTGTCGCTAAGCTTACCCAACTGCGCGGCGCAGCGCTGAAACTGGGGCAGTTCATGAGCATCCAAGGTAAACGCACTACACGTCAAACGGCTGCCTTCATGCTGACGGGCGTTCCTGTAGACAGCCATGTCCTCCCGCCCGAGATCGAGGACATATTTCGGCGAGTGCAAGACAGCGCGCATTACATGCCTGACTGGCAGATGGAGGTCAGAGCGCATATCACCTTTATCGTAAATCCCGCTCACTCTAGCGCTTCGATAGGAAGTGCTCCGCGGCTCTCTTGGACCCTCATGGCAAGATAACTTCGAGTCATTTGACAGGCTGCCATTCGCCGCCGCGTCCATAGGGCAGGTTCATTCTGCCGTACTCGCTGCGTCCTCATCGCCTACCGGCCGCCCGGAGAAAGTGGCCGTCAAGATCCAATTCCCGAACATCGTCAATTCTATCGAGAGCGACCTCGGCTACCTCAAGGTGCTGCTTACAGCCGGAAGGCTGCTGCCTAAAGGGCTCTTCCTCGACCGCACGATCCAGGTCAGCATTTTTTTTATTCATCCACCCTAGTCCAATCGTGATAGCCCCTGGCGTGTGCATCTAGGTCATGAAGGCCGAGCTGGCGGACGAATGCGACTACTCTCGCGAGGCAGGGTTCTTGCGCAAGTTCGCGTCGCCGGAGTACCTCGGGAATGACCCGCAATACAAAGTGCCATGGGTATGGGACGGCAGTACGCAGCAGGTGCTCGTCATGGAGCATGTCAATGGCGTTAGCGTCGGTGGCTCTATCATTGATTCCCTCAACCAGCAGGGCCGCAACGACGTAAACATCTTCACAAGTACAGCAGAATACTAGTGCGCTGACGATAGTGCATCGCAGATCGCCACGCGGATCATCGACTTGTGTTTGAAAGAGCTTTTTGTCCTCAGGACGATGCAGACCGATCCTAACTGGACGAACTTCCTCTGGAATACTCGCACGCGTCAGGTGCTCTATGGCTGGATTGTCTGCGACACATCTTTCTGACACTTGGGGCCGCAGGTCGAGCTCGTGGACTTTGGTGCAACGCGGGAGTATACCAAGGAGTTTATGGACAACTGGTTACATTTGCTGCAGGCCGCTGCGAGCGGTGACCGCGAAGCGTGTATTGAATGGAGCCTCAAGCTTGGTTACCTGACAGGCGAGGAAAATGATGTCAGCACGCCTCGTTCCGCATCCTCGCAACTTTCACTCATTTTTCACCTTCACAGGTCATGCTCGATGCGCATGTACGCTCGATGGCCCTGCTCGCTACGCCGTTCAAGGCGGACACACCGCAGCCCTTCTCGTTCGGCCCCGGCTCGCAATGGGCAGTCATTACCGCGGACATCAGGGCACAGATCCCAGTGATGCTCAAGTACAGGCTCACCCCGCCCCCGAGGGAGACGTACAGTCTTAACAGGTAAAACAGTATAGTTACAGGTAAACATTACTGACGTATGATTCCTGGACTTGCAGGAAGCTGAGCGGAGCATTTTTGCTCGCATCGCGCTTGCAGGCCTCGGTTGACTGCAAGGTACTCTGGGACAATATCATCGACAACTACCATTTCGGCGTCGAGCCTAAAAAGTAGTGCTACAATAATAAGACGCTGTCGCGCATCCTGCATATCTTGTGCCAACATATCAATATCGTGAAGTATTACACCGGAGGAGGAGCTAATGTAGGCACGTAGAGTAATTTTGGCTATAAGAGAACCCCAGCTCTACAGGTGTTGAAACCTCTACATCGTCATGTCGTATTCGTGAGTTGAGTCATTCACAGGTCCCTTACCCTCACGCTGCCGCTCACTGCTGCTTTTTGGACTGCGTGTGTCCATTGGCGCGGTTGGAGTAGATCATGTCCGTGAATGGTCTGTCAAGGCGAACATGTTAGCATTCGCAAATGCTACGCATTCATCGTTCTTACCCTTCGAATCGCAGGGCGATGAGATACACGGCATACACGTAGAATGTGATGAGCAGCCCAGCAGGACGCTCGAACCTGTGGGACATCATGAGTTGAGTAGATCATAATACCAGTATACGGCGCACGAGAGCATACCATAAAGACACTGCGACAAAGGACATCGTGCTTCCGACGTACATCGGGTCCCTGAGCACGTTGAAAGGGAAGCCTTCAACCCTGTGGTCCATCAATATGCCAAAGTAGTCGCCTAAGAATGTGCCAGTGACTCCCAGAGCCCAAGTCGATGTCACGACGAAGACTTGTCCGATAGCAAAGAGCGCCGCAGGAACGAGGGTGTCTAGAGGTTCCGGAAGCATGGCTTTACGGGGTTGTTCCAGGATAGCATTCTTGAACCTGATTACGATGTGAGTAAGGGTCAGAACGCTTAGAGAGCCCAGTGCGCTGCCACATACAATGAGTCACGCAGCATACCAAAGGAGAATATCATCAACGCAAGGAAATAGCAGCCATATTTCGCGTTTCCGCCAAACAGGCGCGTTATAGTCTTGTTCCTATATTCTGTCAGTGTGTGAAATCAGTGCCCGTCGCGTTGTTACATGCGTTGTGGGCACTGACCGTTACGAGCAACGATGTTCCATGCTGTCGGGTTGAAGGCAATGGATAACACGGAAAGCCATAAAGACGGCTGCGACCAATCTATAACGGAGGCCAGTTGGATGGACATGGCAGTTTTTGTGGACCACAGACCGAGAACGAGCGTGATCTGTACTGAAGCTATTCGCTGGCAGTCTGGTACGTTGAGAACCTCGGTTGACGCGACGCGCCAGGAACGGTGCACGTGTCCGCGCCTCCAATGAGCCAATCACGAACGTCTATGAACTCGTTCTCGAATTTACGTTCATTTATTTTGCAATGATCATACATGCTCCGTGCAAATATGAATAGAAGAAATGGCCCATTACGTAGAGCCTCAGAATTGTACGGAGATCGTGTGGTTGCCTCCACTCAAGGGCAGTGATGCGCCATCGACCTGTACCAAATTACCGTCTACACTTGTTGTCCCACTGACAGGGAGCGTGACGATGCCGCTCGTCCCGGTCGGCGTCTCGACTGTGAGGTTGAACGCATCTGCTGTCGATGTCCACCGCACGCCGTACCACCCCAATGGCGTTTCGAAGCCGCCTTCGGCAGACGGCAATCCGGATAAATGGGGCGCAACCGACCAAGTCCTTCCTTGAGGCGAGGTCACCGTTAGACCCAGGACGTAGAATGTAAGAGCAGATGTCGGCCCGGTGCTCCATCCATGCGAATGACTAGTGAACGCTGGATCATAGTCGTATGCATCGGAGGAGCGATAGCTGCGTTCAACATGAGCATTCTAGTATGAGAACACGATCCAATTTAGACGACTACACTCACTACAAAGATCCATTGGACGTATAGCCTTCTAAGAGTGTCGATTGTACGCTGATGTTAGTGTACAACATATAGCCCCACTCAAGGTGCAGAAGGTCAATTGCGCGAGCGTCGTTCCCAGAGGCGAAGTGTGCTTGCAGCTATCAAAGTATCATTGAGTAAATTTCCGCGTAGTTGCGAACGTCCATACCTACCTCAAAGCTACCGATGTATGGCGTCACTGTATCAGGTAGTTCCGGGGATACGGAGCCGAACTCGCCCCAATATTGCGTCAGGCCGGCGCTAACAGAGGATGCTTGCTTGGCCGATGTTGTCAAGTTGAACAAGACGGCGAGCGAGTTTGCGTCTTGGGGGTAGAGAGTGGACGTTAAATTGTTGCGATACATTCCTACATCTGAAGACCAAAACGCGTCGTTAAACGCCGTTTTCAATGAAGTCGCGTTGGAGGAGTATCCATCTACGAGTTCCGAGACATTGAGGTAGGTCGCAAGTTCTGCGCTGCTGATGAGGACCTGCGTTGCCCATGGTGAGTGGATCAATACGCAAATAGCCTTTGCGAACTCGAGCACACCTTGTAGAAAATCGCGTTGGCCTCAGAGTTGTGTCCGCCCTGCCAGAAGCGCCCCCAGTCTTCAGTGTCAGTAACGTCAAGCAGACCAGTATGGTCGACTTTGTTCGTGAGGAACTGCACCGCCTTCGTGTAGTTGCTCCAGGTGTCTTTGAGCCATGCGATATCGCCAGAGTACAAGAAGTAGTTGTATGCTCCGATGAGGGTCCATGCGTGGTATGTATCACTACCATTGATATAGCTGCCAAATGGAGGACCAGCGTATGGGAGTGCACCCGTATTGGGGTTTTGTAGGGCAAACAAGGTCGAAAGGGAGTTCTTAGCCGGCACTAAATCCTGGGTCGACACGAACAGAGTTGGGACTGCTACGCCCATGTCGCCAGGCCAAACAGTCCTAATGCACCAAGCGTTGACTGACATGTCATTTGCAACTACAAACGCCCATAGACCGACCTGTCACGTTTCGCGCCATCGACGAGGATGGGCCCTGCAATGCCAATTGTCGCGTTGTTGAGCCAACCTAGTCTACATGAGGGGGACGCTCGAGGTATGCATGAATACACACTCTCACCAGGGGAAGGGACCGGGGGGTATTGCCTGCCTGCGTGTACGGGGATGATGTTCGTTTGCACCGTGTACGCACCGGAATACCAGATCTAACGTGCCGTCATAATGCAAAACAAGAATCTCGAACGAGCTGTATAAGTACCTTCGTGAGGAAGTCTGGATCGTCGTATCCCGGGTCTGAAGCATAGAAGTAGCCGTCGTAGCTCCGCAGGTTTTCTACGTGTGGCATGAACGAGATCGTGCATGAGATATTAGATATCGTAACAGGACCGTTTGATGTGGACGATACGGTCAAGTAGCGGAACCCGCCACGCATTCGCTCTGGTGGCTGGATCCAGTATCCCGTCGTCAGAGGACTGGGAACTTGGAGAACGCCATCGTACGTTGTGCTTGCAGACGGATTGGCCGAGTCATCGGAAGCATACGGTCGAATGAACTCAGGCGATTCAGTAAACGCCAGTGCAATCGAAGAGGTAGAGGTGGCGCTGTCGAAATTCAGCGAAACAAGTCCGCCAACCTACATGCAAATGTTTCAGCAGCCAACACTTTGATATGTAGGCGCCTCACCTCAAAACCGAAATCAAGAGTCACATATGAGCCGTTATTGGGTAAGGTGTAGTTGCCTCCTGCAGGATGGTTTTGTGAATCCAAGGCAATACCGCTAGAACCATGGATGGAGCGTGGATATACCGTCCTGGACTCGGGAGCAAGATTAAACACATCCCAAGGACCTGCAGGAGCAGCACCCAGGCAAGTAGTCACCAGAGCGAGTAGGACTGACAAATGGGGGGTCATGACAACGCTGGCTCACTGGCCTTACGTCCAGCTCAGACCCATATATATGAGCATTGTGAGGTAGCCTTCCAGAGGGAAGACAACGCTCACGAGACATTGTTTAACGGGCCTTTATGAGCGGCCAAAGTGTCACTATTAGTCGTTTCATATATTTAGCGGCCGACCTCAACAATATGAATTGAGTCGACTGTTGACAAGTAAACCGAACACCAATCGGCAGTTGATACGATGTCACTTATGGTATAACACTGAGCGTGATGCAAAGGTTCTACCTTTGGGATCGCCATCGTGGGACCGGGACCAAACGCCCAATTCGTACGCTTCGCGTCCTTCCGAGGCCCGTCGGACCTCTACATACAATGTAGCGTTCCTGAGGGACCCACCAACTGGTGCCTGCACATTGGCGCTTGCGGGCTATAGGGGACGTACTGAACGCCCATCACAGGGGCCGTGATCTCTGTACCCCGCGTCTGCCAGCTCGATCGTAACGGAAATATGATCGCTTGCACTGCACCGTCAATCTCGAGTAGTCGAATGACGCTATGAGAATCATGATCAACGCCGATCGGGTCGAGGCTGAAGGACACTAACCGATCATACTCCGCCGCGATTCTGGGAACAAGGGAACCGCGCACCGCCTAATTCGCCCCGCAGGCATTATGGCATCCGTGATACGGAACAACGACTCGGAGCGTACGCGCGACACACTATGACATTACTAGAGCTCGCGGGACATGGCGTCCCGGTCGTGCGGCTTATTGAGACGCCATAATCCGACCGACGACATGGTTGTCGGCGTGGTTCCGCACGATGCTTCGTGTGCGCTGTGCATACCGCATCACGAGGGCTAGGCCACGGACGACGCGCTAGGTAGTGCTCGTGCCGTGGCCTCCTCTCGCGGTCTTGTCTACAGCTTCCGTTTTCCTTCCGCGAGGAGCTTCTTCCATTGTACGTGTGCACTTATGGAGGTTGTAGGATGTGCACAGACGGCGGCGCTCGGCGATAAGTCAATAAACAGAGGTTAATTGCCCCCGCAGAACGTGCAAAACCTGTTAGTTTCAGCACCTGTAATTGAGTTTCAAAGGAGGCAGTCTCCCGCAAAGGGGTGGGCTTCCGGGAAGTGCACACTTTAACAAGAGTGAGGAACCCAATGCTCGCTGTTGGATCAGAGAGCGCCCACGTCCATGATGCCGCATGCATCCCACTCTAAATCAAAAGTTTGTACTTATTTGCTCAGTGTGGCCCGCCTGCCACCCTCTGCCGCCTTTCGGCTTCAAACGAGGCATCCATCTTCCATTCCGGTTTGAAGTTCAGTTGTATTGCCAGACGATGTTCAACTGAACTTTAGCGGGATCGTGCCCCTTGCACTGGCGATGCCCATTCTTATATTAACAGATGATGCCTCAGCACTGAGTCAATGTTTTGCACGTACACATCCAACTAGTACAGCGATTGACCGTCAGTTTGCCTCTCATTAATCGGGGAGTGTGGTTGTTCAACCAGCCACTGTCATGTCAGTTTCAAAAGAGAAGGCATTGCACTGACCATACATTTCCGCTAGTGCTTGAGTCCATCCTGAGTTGAGGACACGGATGTCACGAGTTCCCAATGAGTACAGTACTGATACCGAAATATGTCCTTTTATTGGATATAGCAGGCCTGCTAGACATGGCGTTGTCGCCATCACGGAGTGTATTTTACTATCGGACACAAGGTTGATGCTAAGTATCGAAAACTTTGGGACCTGTACCATCATGGCTGATGATAGATTGAACTCAATTGTAGGGACTACAGTTTGCTGATTGGCTTCGACGTCAATACCCTTACAGGTAATGTCATTCCCATGGCAAAACAGAGCCGCGAACAAGCGAACTTGTCCAAGCCACGAACCCTGGTCTCTGTAGCTCTGGCACACCTGATATACGCGATGCTAAATGGCTGTGACCTTGTTCGAAAGTCAACTTCCTCCACTCAGTCTTCCTGGAGCTACTATGACTGTGGGCACCTCCAATGGAAATGGTGCCACAGAAGACTCATAGCGGCCTTCTCGAACCTTTGAAGTACCGTCACGGAACGGATCTCAGTCGGCTTTGGTATCATAGTTTGTCAGGCGCTAGTTGGACTTCTTTGGCCACCAGTATCGCCTCATTTACCCGCAAAGCTGTTCAAATCTTCCTGGATATGTGATGTTTTTGACAGAGAGTGCAATACATTTGCTGCGCTCAGACCTTCTGACTTATCTTGAATGCGTGTGTCAGTAGGTGCGCAATCCAGATAGCGGGGCCTATATCCTTGGCTGCACCCAGTCAAGCTGACTGTTTTCTCGCCGTCGAACAAGATCCTTGAAAAAGCTCGAGTTCTAGTGCACTGGTTGTAGTCAAGTTTCGAGGCAGTAAGGTCCTCCGCTCCGCTCCCAGCTCGCTTGCGTTGATACACTCTCAGGCGCCCAATCATGGACCTCGCTCTCAATGATGTTCATGTTCTTGTGACAGGTGGGTGTGCTTCAGATATGTGGATTTTAACACACTGAAGTGAGATTATGCTCCAGGTGCAAGTGGCGGGATAGGTCTGGCAACATGCCGTCTCTACTTGAGTGAGTCAATGTTTCTGTGAACGAAGCCGCCGAAGCTTACTCCAAAGTCGGACTGGAAGAGCAAGGAGCCAAGATCACAGCTCACTACAATACCACCTCCTCCACACTTGATCCTTTGTTGGACGAGTACGGCCCAGCACGCGTTCACACCATCCAGGCCAATCTCGCCCAGGAGGAAGATGTCATCCGCATGATGAACGTCAAGACCGAGGGCTTTGGTGCGGTACAGGTGCTCGTCGTCAATCATGGCTATTTCCCGCCGAACGATGTGCCCGTGTCGCGCATGACTCTCGCGCAATGGAATTCGACGCTGAACTCCAACCTCACGTCGTCGTTCTTGGTAGTCCGGGAGTATCTGAGGCATCTCGAAGATGCGACTGCCGCGGAGAAGGACAAGGCTGCCATCGTGATGATCGGGAGCGCAGCAGGGAAATACGGCCCGTTTGGCCATGCCGACTACTCGGCGACCAAGAGCGGTACGCGCAATCTCCTGCACGACTCGGGCTTCTATCGCTGACACACATTCCAATTTCCCAGGGATGATGTATGGGCTCGTTATGACCCTCAAGAAAGAAATCGTCAAGATTGCGCCCAAGGGACGCGTGAACTGTATCGCGCCTGGTATGCTTTCTCGATCTCAGTATTGCACATCAAACATGACGTTGATGTCACGCATGTATTTAGGTTGGGTCAAGACGCCCATGGCCGCGCACGCCCTTAAGAATCCCGAGATCCTTTACCCCTCGCTGGCTACGTACGTCCCCTCACGCACCTCGGTAGGTCTGCGCAAAACTGACTGTTTTTCAGCACGCCACTAAAGAAAGTGGCAACGCCCGAGGACGTTGCGACACAGATCGTCTTCGTGTCATCCACTGTCGTGTCTGGCCACGTTACTGGGGAAGTGATCATGGTGGACGGTGGTATGGAAGGGTTCTTGGTGAACAGGCCCGAAGACATTGTATCGACACAAGCAAAGGCAAAGTTGTAATTTGGCTGTCGAACAGAGATATGCAGGCGAGTCGTGTTGTGCACAGACCACTCCATCAGCTCTCCGATGGATCGATAACCCTAGACTCGGAACACCTGCGGGGCTATTCTCGGGGTGAGCGCGTTGGCTACGTGGCTAGCATGACGTTCATCCTTCATGGGTTACCCGATGTAAGTTTGACGTCGGGAGAAGGTGGCAGAGTTGGCGAATCCAAGCGGCATATCGTAGGATCCCCATATCCGCTGCCGATCATTGGTCTGTAATATGAACCCTACCGCGGATAATGGTGTGACTCGAATGATTCACGGGGAAGTGAATGTGCTGCACTGAAATCGGTCTGTGGTATCTCTACCGCTAAACATGTCAACCTAGGCATGCATGCAACGCACGCACGCACTCGCATGTGCGCATGCTAACTATTATAGCCCGCATAAGATCGAGGAGCATCAAATACACAAATAGTACCGAGACAGGCATGGAATCAGCTAGGTTCGTCACCAAATTATTATTCGAGCAATATGCCATTAACTTTCTTCGAAGAAAGTTTCGTACAGGGAGTAGTTACATCGAGTCGTGTCCACGCGACGGCTGAGAAGACAACGTGCTGAGTTCGCAGATGCCTGATTGGCCGTTTGAGGTCAGAGCGCATATCCCCTCTATCGCTCCACTCAGTCTTCTTAGAGCTACCATGACTGTGCGTACCTCCAAGGTTATAACTACTCTTATCTTATGATTTAAACCCTATTGCATGCGTCATCCGTAGTATCCTGAACATTTTTTTCAGCTTGATGAAGGGAGGCCCGTTGTCATATCCCATGGTCTAGTGCTGTTTATAGCAGCAGGCCGGGCTAATTTCGATGACTGAACTGTGGTGCTTATGGACTCTCCGACACACGGAGCAGACGGCAAGTAAGCCCATCTATTCGCGCTTTATCTCCACAATCGCGGTCAAGTGGCATTTGACATACCTCGTCGGAATAGTCACTTCCATTGCCAGTACTGCGTTATGCAGTGAGAAGGCACGTCTCATGTTACTGCCTCTGGTGATACTACTACCTCATTCAGGGAAGCGATTACCAATGACATCCTGTCACCGCCGGAAGTCTTACAATCTCATACATGATAGGTTGTAAGTGCTGCAGGAGATACGGCAATGGTGACACATAGAAGACTCATAGCGCTGAAGTACCCTCACGGAACGGATATCAATCGGCTTTAATATCACATCTTGTCAGGCTCCGGTCAAACTTCTTTGGTTGTGAGTATCGCCTCATTGACCCGCAAGGCTGTTCAGATACTTCTGAATATGCGGTGTTTCTGTTAAGGTTTAATGCATTCGCTGCGCTCAGGCCTTCTACCTTATCTTGGGAGATACTATTAGCTGACGCCATCCTCCCTACGATAGTTCTTCCTTGGTGGCATGCCCTCCAGAGGGAAGTACCACCTTGCATGAAATCCGGCGATCCACATGGCTGAGGCGGATACAGAGCTTGCTCTCTACAATTTTACTTTCACCGACCAATCCGCATACGTTATTTTTCTGCCCTATCGAGATGGGCCTCTCGATTCGCAATGGAACGTGTCGTACTCTCAGAGTGCTCAAGATGACTGGTCATACAGCAACAATCTTGGGAAGGGGGTGGGTTACAGTCAAGTCACAGTTTCCATAGCATTCATAGTTGACCCATAGATAAGCTCGCACAAAACAACTCTAGTAGGCGCGTCCGTGGAGCTTAGTTGGACAGGAACCGGAGTGTGGATCTATGGCACCGGCGATCGAGCAGCATATACTGTCCAAATCGACTTCGATCCTGCGGTTTTAGGACAAGGGGATAACGAGGGTGTTCTCTTCACTCAGACGAACCTCACGTATGGTCCTCATGATCTGACGCTTACTGTACTCAACTCTCTCATCTCCATTACTGGTGTAAACATCACCGTGGGACTTGGAGATTCAGGGTACATGTCAATCCTCTACAGGTCATCACATTCAGCTAACGAGCAACCTCAGGACTGTCCTTCAAGCTCGCAATATCCACGGAATGCTCACGGGCACGACAGCTGTAAACCCATTCTTTACTGTGGACGAGACTTGGTCCGTTGTCGATCTATACGCGAACCAGTCCGCGAGCTACCCATGCATTGCAACATACACCTCCGGTGCAATGTTATCGTTTACGCTCAACGCGACGGTGGGGTTTGAAATCTACGGCAGTGATGATTGGTATCAGGGCCTCTTCACGGTCACTGTGACTTCGTCTGGTGGTACTTCTGCTGTGGCGTCTGTACCGAACAACACAATCCAGTATAGTCCGCGCTCCGGCTGGACTGCACTGAACCAGTTGAAGTACCTCGCGACGGGATTGGATAACAGGGAAACATACAACGTACAAGTTCAAAATTTGGGAAACACGTTCAACCTTGCATCTGTCATAGCATATGATGCAGTCCCCAGGTGCGGTTTGGCCATATCAAAGCAGTTATAGGAGTTCCTTCTGACTACTATAACCTCAGTCCGACGTCTTCTAGTAGTGCCAATGGTTTGCCATCTGGGACGGGTGGTGCATCGCCTACTACTACTCAATCGCTAACGAGCAGTTCTTCTGTTCGTCCAACTGCAAGATCAGCACTAGGCACAGGTGCAGACGTAGGGGTTGCGGTACACAAATCCAACTTCGCTCATATCCTTTTTTTCTAATAGTCAATCGATAGATTGGCGCAATCGCGGGTCTCATCTTCTTGCTGGCCATTGTCCTCTGTGTTCGGTACAGGAGAAGAGCACGTAACGCGCGTGACTATCCGCCTTCACCAGAGATCTGTACGTTACGTGTTTGTGTCTTTGGTTCTTCGCCAAACCTAATGACTAGGACTCCCAAATCAGATCCGCAACCAGAAGCGCTCGTCCAACCTGTTCCTCCTCTCTCCAAGTCAGAATTATCATCAACACTGGACTCGACGGCTCTTTACAGCTCCAGCGCAGATGGAGACCTGCATGCTCCCGTACCGATTGTCCAGAATCCCGATGTGGCTTCAAACATGTTTGATAGGGTCGGCTCCGCATTTTACGAGAGGGATGGAGGGCCACTCATTTTACCTCCAAGGTATGATGAAGCATGGATGCGCTCCGCTGGTCGTACGGGACAGGAAGGCCAGCACGCATCGCAAGAAGTGCATCAGCCGCCAACGCGTAGACCCCTGCCTCCTATTCCTACTGTGAGTATGGATCTGTTATTATCACAAGATTGACAACATACTGACTTGTTACTTATGTATAGGCCTTTCAGGCAAATGACGCCGGCGCTCCGAAATGATAAATCGGAAGACTCCGTTTGACTTGTTCACACGTCCTTAAGGGGAAGGGCACTGACTGGTCTCTGTATACCTTTGGGGCCAACCACGGTATTTTGAAGTATCTGAATCACATTACGGAGTTACCCTCAGCGTAGGAGGCTGGCCTTAATGAGTTGAATCAGGAGCAACGATGCCAACGATAGTGATTGTACGAACAGCTACACAGACCCATCGTACGAGGCAAAGACGTCCGACACAGGAGGGTCATTACTCGAGCTGCACTAATATCGCATGTCTGCCTCCGCTTAGAAAAAGTGGCATGTGCGCGATTTGCATCAGGTCACCATTGACAAAGACTGTTCCTGAAACAGGAAGGATAATTATACCGCTGCTGCCGGCCGGCGTATCAAGCGTGAGATGAAAATCTTTTGCAGTTAATGTCCATTCGACGCCATACCAACCTAGAGGCGTTTCAAAGCCTCCTTCGGCAGACTGCAATCCAGATATGTGTGGTGCAACCGACCATGTCCTCCCTTGAGGCGAGGTTACGGTGAGACCGAGAACATAAAATGTCAGCGCTGAAGTTGGTCCGGTACTCCATCCGTGCGAGTGGCTAGTGTACGACGGGTCGTAGTTATATCCGTCGTAAGAGCGATAGCTGCGCTGTGAGTGAGCCGCTGATCGCACATGATGGGAGGACCATGACCCACTATAGGGACCCGTTTGACGTGTAGCCTTCCAGTAGAGTTGACTGCACGCTGAGAGGGGTGTATAGCATGTAACCCCACTCACGATGAAGGAGGTCCATTGCTCGTACATCGTTCCCGGATGCAAAGTGAGCTTGCAGCTATCAGACCATGAAAGATTAGATTCCACACAAGATCAGCTCACACTTACTTCGAATCCACCGATGAATGGTGCAACCGTATCCGGGAGCTCTGGCGCTATCGAGCCGAATTCGCCCCAATATCTCGTAAGACCTGTACTAATGGAGGACGCTTGTTCAGCGGAGGCGGTGAGGTTGAAGAGCACTGCTAAAGAGTTTGCATCCTGGGGATATAAGGGCGACGTGAGATTGTCACGATACATCCCCTCCTCGGTCGACCAGAAGGCATCGTTGAATGCAGTCTTCAATGCAGACGCATTGGTAGCGTAAGACGTGGCGAGAAGTGAGTCGTTTAGATAGACAGCAAGCTCCGCACTGTTGATCAGAACCTGCAGTCCCGTAAGCTATTTATATGCTAGGCGGTGCCAAAACGTATACCTTGTAGAAGATGGCGTTCGCTTCGGAGTTGTGCCCTCCTTGCCAAAGTCTTCCCCAATCTCTCAGACCCGTCACATTGAGCAGACCCGTGCCGTCGACCTTGTTCTCCAGGTATTGCACGGCTTTGGTGTAGTTTCTCCAAGTATTCTGCATCCACGCGAGATCCCCAGAATACAGGAAGTAGTTATGAGTTCCGATGAGCGTCCACGCATGATACGTGTCACTGCCCTGCTGACTGAGAGGCGGACCAGACTCCGGAAGAGCGCCTGTCTCAGGATTCTGGCCGGCAAACATAGTCGATAGCGCGTTTCGCGTGGGGATCAGGTCATTGGTGGAGACGAATTGCGTCGGAACTGCGATGCCCATATCACCCGGCCAAACAGCTCTGGGACATCGGCGTTCGTTTTCGTTAATGAACATGCTGATGTTAACATATGAGCACTCGCCTATCTCGCTTTGCGCCATCAACAATGATGGGTCCCGCAATGCCCAGCGTTGCATTGTTGAGCCATCCTAAATGTTGTTGGTAAGGTACACTAGGCATTTCTATGCACTCACCAGGCGAGGAGACGAATGGGACCTGCCTTCCGGTATTCAGCGGAACGGTGCCCGTCTGCACAGTATATGCCCCAGAATACCATATCTAACGCATCATCAACAAATGGGCATATATATTCACGCTAGAGGCAGACCTGCCTTGGTCAAGAAATCCTGATCCGTGTAATCAGGGTCTAATGTATAGAAGTAACCACTGTAGTTCCTCATGTTTTCAACGTGGGGCATGAATGAGATAGCGCACGAGACATTAGAGATTGTGACAGGACTATTGGAGGTGGAGGAAATGGTCAAGTAACGATACCCGCCACGCAATCGCTCGGCGGGCTGAGTCCAGTACCCAGTCGGCAGGGGACCAGTGATGTCAAGAACACCATCGTAGGTAGTATTCGCAGACGGGTAGGAAGAGTCATCAGACGCGTATGGCCGAATGAACTCTGGCGACTCGGTGAATGCGAGCGCGATCGAGGATGTCGAGGAGACCGCGTCAAAATTCAGCGAGACAAGCCCGCCAATCTGTGAATTGAGGGTCTTAGCTTTCTTTGGCTAAGGACATTCATGGTAAATACATCCTACCTCGTATCCGAAATCAAGCGTGATGAATGAAGTATTCGATGGCAAAGTAAGGCTGCCGCCTGAAACGAGACCATGCACATCTCCTGCGGTTCCGCTGAAGCCGTATATGGCACGTGGATAGACCGTCCTGGACTCTGGGGCTAGATTGAACGCATCCCATGGGCCCGCAGGAGCGGTACCCAGAATAGCGACTGCCAATGTGAACACGACTATCAGGCGCAAAGTCATGATCTCGACAAGAGATTAGCATCATGTCTCTGCAGGGATTTATGGACTGTAGACCATCGATCGGATGCCGGAACATTGAATGAGAACGAAATAGCTTAGCACGAGACATCACTGGACGGGCCGCGGCCAGCAAAAGTGAGACGGCGTTGAATGATGATGGCAAGCGTGACCATATGGACGATCCGGGAACCTCAATAGCAATGTTGGAATATGCGTTGGGCATACGACTCCACAAGAAAATACTCACGCGAACGCAGCGCACAGGTCACGATGGGACTGGTGACACAGGTCTTCGGGAAGAGATGTGTCACAAGGTCCCCGCGTGTTGCACATTCCGGGCCGTCGTGAGCAATGTCGAAGAACTGCTGAGACTGAGCATTTACTTAGTCTGTGTGCAAATTGACGAGGCTATTTGTCTGTTGCAGCCGCGAACATCCATGATATGTCACAAACGTGAATTTCCGGGCCATGCGGTGGCGATCCCCATTCAATCAGGTAGAGTATATAACATCATTCGAATTCAACCGTTGGATAGCAGACTATGGAAGCCTTCAATGAGCGCGAATCTCTGTGATGAGAGCTTACTCACCAGAAACGCGTTTCATTTGGAAGTCTGAACAACCAGAGTATGATTTCCTCCGGCGAGTGTGATGATCTCCCAAGTGTTGTGCGCAAGTACATTGCCGTCCACGGACACTGTTCCATTAAATGGTAACTGCACTTCACCAGTCGTACCCTCTGGGGTAGCAATGCTAATACTGAAGTTGCCTGTCGTCGATGTCCACATGACGCCGAACCATCCTAGAGGTGTTTCGAAGCCACCCTGCGCAGCTGGAAGCCCAGAGGTATGCGGCGCGACCGACCACGTCTGACCTTGAGGAGACGTGACGGTCAATCCGAGAACATAGAAAGTGAGCGCCGAGGTAGGCCCCGTACTCCATCCATGAGAGTGGCTGATGAACGATGCGTCGTAATCGTAACCGTCATAGGATCGGTAGCTGCATGCCAAAGGGAATATCAGTCACAAAGCCGGTCACCGCTCAAAACGGTCTCACTAGAGTGAACCATTGGATGTGTATCCCTCAAGCAGCGTCGATTGCACACTGATAGGTGTATACAGCATGTACCCCCATTGAACTCGTAGCAAGTCCATAGCACGAGCGTCATTGCCCGATGCAAAGTGGGCTTGCAACTATCATCATCATTATCAGACGTGAGCAGACAGTCGTCGATAGACAACTACTCACTTCCATTGCACCGATGAACGGGGCTACGTTATCTGGCAGTTCCGGAGATACCGCACCGACCTCGTTCCAGTATCTTGTCAGTCCAGCGCTGACTGAGGATGCCTGCTCGGCGAATATGGTTAGATTGAACAACACTGCTAACGAATTGGCGTCCTGCGGGTAGAGTTTCGACGTTAGATTGTCACGATACATGCCCTCAGTGGGCGACCAGAAACCCTCGTTAAATCTGGTCTTGAGCGACGATGCGTTCGCGGCGTATGCTGCTGCGAGTGCGGTGTCGTTCATTATGGTTGCTAAGTCCACGCTAATAGTTAGGGCCTACGACGTCGCTCCCCATTAAAACAAGCCTTGAAAACGGGACGGCGCGTACTTGCCTTGTACAATATTGCGTTCGCCTCGGAGTTGTACCCTCCCTGCCACAGGCGGCCCCAATCACCCGTCGCTGTGACGTACAGCAAGCCGGTGCTATCCACCTTGTCCTCCAAGTACTGCAGAGCTTTCGTGTAATTGGCCCATGTTTCCTGTAGCCAGGCTGTGTCTCCAGAATAGAGGTGGTAGTTGTATGTCCCAATCAGAGTCCACGCTTGGTATGTGTCGCTGCCTTCTTCGCTCAACGGAGGGCCAGAGTATGGCAGCTGACCAGTTTCCGGATTCTGCTCCGAGAACAGGGTCGCGATGGCATTGCGAGTAGGTATAAGATCATTTGTTGATACGAACTGCGTAGATACGGCCAGACCCAGATCCGCTGTGGGGGGCATTGTTATATGTCATGATTCTTGTCTGATTGTATCGTACCTGACCAAACAGCACTTCAAACCTCGAGTTAGCGGATTGATATTGCTACCGGATGTCATGCTCACCGGCCACGCTTCGCTCCATCAACGATAATAGGACTAGCGATACCAGCAGTCGCGTTGTTTTCCCACCCTGGTACTGTCAGCTTCTGCGTAATCGCGCAGGATAGAGATACACATACCTGGCGAAGGACCAGGCGGATCCTTCCTGCCGGTATCAACAGCGATTGTAACGGTTTGCACCGTGTAAGCGCCGGAATACCAGATCTGCATATGCTAAATCAATCGGTCACAGCATACAACCAGGTCGTGCGATCAAACCTTTGTGAGGAAGTCTTCATCAGAGGAATATGGATCTAGAGCATAGAAGTAGCCAGCATAGTCCCTCAAGTCTTGCCAATGAGGCATGAATGTTATGGAACAAGAGACATTAGATATGGTGACTGGGCTGTCCGCCCCTGAGACAATGGTCAGGTAGCGGAAACCACCTCGTAAACGATCGGCAGACATAGTCCAGTAACCGGTGGTGAGGGGGATCGGAAGAGCTAGTACCCCATCATAAGACATGTTCGCGCACTGGACGGCGGAGTCATCCGAGGTCGTAGGACTGATGTAAAGGGGTGATTCAGTGAATGAAAGAGCTATTCTCGACTCCGGAGAGGCGGTATCCACATTCAAAGAGATTAGGCCTCCGACCTATCGCAGTGTGAGCCTCAACGTCGCATGGAGGGAGCGTGGCTCACCTCTTGACCAAAATCGAGAGTGAAGTATGAATCTTTGGCAGAGAATGTTGCATCACCACCATCTATGAGATTATGAGCGTTTGAGACGGCTCCATAAACTCCTTTGAGTCCAGAAGGGTATATGGTCTTCGACTCCGGAGAGAGATTGAAGTCGACCCAGGGGCCGTCCGGCGCGACACCGATGGCTACATTCACCAATAGCAGCACGTACACAACATTAAAGGGCATCGCGCGCACGGTAAATCACAACCATTTCCTTGAGTTGAAATAGCCGCCAATATTGGAACCATCATCATGAGAATCGCGGAGCGAACAATCATGGGGCAACCCCCGGCCCGCGGGGGTGACAGAAGGATACACATCAAGCGGGTACAAGGAGTGCCAGCAGCCGTGGCCTCGCACCGTGAATAGTGACGAAGTCAGAAGATAGGGCACGACTCGCCGTGCATCATGCCGCGACTTTCCCATGCACCTTTTTTCGTGGCTCGGATAGAGCAGTGCGACAACAGGAAGGCAGCAGTCTTGAGTCGCCCATTGACCTCAGACTTGTTCAGCTGTCCGTGATGTGCCAGTCGACGACTGGTCGTTCGACCGTCGTTTGGCTAGTCCGATGAGTTGGACATGGTGCAACGTTATGGCTCATTCCATGTCTTCAAACCCATTGAGCTCGTTATGTGCGTGAGCGTACTTCTGGCCGGAATGGGCGGGTCCTAGAAACAACAGCCTACTTCGGTAGAGTGTGGTTACGACGATACGTTTCCGGGTCCAGCCAGGTCGTGCAGGGAACTGAGTTGGTACGTGGTGAATTATGCATGAGATATCGACGATCGTCTGCACAATGCGCGGACGGCTCGGAGATCAAGATGCTTACGTACAGACGGTCTAAGGTTCAACCGGCCCAATGTTTGCGTGCAAGCCGGGAGCTGATGCGGAATTCAGAATCACCAGGCGGAACCATGGTCCCAATCTATGTATTTCTATCAAACATGCATGAGCCAAAGATTAAGAAACTGGAAGACTGTAACTCTCTACTACTCGGAAGACGGAACGGAGGGGCAAACCACATGATCTACCGACTTTGTACCTGAACCTTGCGCTCTCGCCGCTCGGCATGGATGTCGTCAGTGGAAGCAGTGGTGTGTAAGCCGAATGCTATATCAACGATTTATCTACGAGGACGCGTGCAGCCCGGGACTCTTCCTGCGCAACCCTCTCAAGCAAGTACAAGATGGCCAGCCCGAACCAGAAGAGCGCGCTGAATATTGTCATGGTAAAACATCTCTTCAATAAAAACCATTCGCATAGCTGAGTATGGTATGATCCGTCGCGTCAAAAGGGGGCCATGACGTTTGGCGAGGAGGGGAAGGAGGGTAAGGTCTACCACATTGCTCTTGTGTCGTAGTTCGCGGTGAAGCTCATTGAAAAGCTCGTAGGCGCTAGAGTTCACAAGTTGGAGGATGTGGAAGCGATTTTGGATGTGTTCCAGGCGCATGGACACACCGAGGTACAACAGACATAACCAAAGCTAATGCGAATACAGTGCTAAGGTCTGCTTATAGATTGACACCGCGCGCACTTATACTGGTGGCACGAGTGAGGAATACCTCGGGAAGATTGACTGGAAGAAGCGCGGGCTGATACTCGAAACAAAATTATATCCCAACGTCGTAAGTTGCACCCGACTACGGATGTTTCGTCACCTAACGCCATCCTGTGCACAAGTCCAACACGAGACTGCAAAATCCAGACAGGGAGTTGATCTCCCACAAGCCAGAGGTGTGTTTGCCACCGAAGGGGGGGACCAGAGATGTTACAGCTCAATTGTATGGACTAGGATCTGCGCAAGCACCTCGAGCGGTCCTTGAAAGCGTTGAACACAGAGTCAGTGCTACGAGACCAAAGCCACTGTGTGTTTGATGATTACTTACACGTCGCCTGCGCTTGTAGCCAACTAGAGATGTGGTACCTCCATGGACCCGACCGCACGACACCGATTGGGCTTACGCTACGTGCAGTGAATGAGCTGTACAAGGAGGGAAAATTCAAACGTTTCGGGATCAGTAACTACATGGCGTAAGTGGGCGGCGGTGTATCAGATCCAGCATGCTCATAGGTCAGCGCGACAGCTGGGAAGTGGCCGAAATAGTGCAGATCTGCCGTGGAAACGGATACATCCAGCCGACAGCGTACCAGGGGATCTACAACGCCGTCCACAGGTATGAGCAGGCGTTGATCACTAGCTGTACAACCCCGGCTGATCGATCTTCTGCGCATAAGGAAAGTCGAGCCGGAACTATTCCCTTGCCTCAGGAAGTTCGGCATCGCCTTCTATGAATTCAATCCGCGTGCGTAATTTATTAAAGCGCCTCACTAAACGTGCTGATAGCAAGGTTCGCGGTAATCAGTCGGTGGTGGATTCTTCACTGGCAGGTATCGCTCCCTGGAAGACAAGGTCGAGCCTGGGTCTCGTTTCGATCCTGAGAAGGGACAAGGAAGGGTGCGTTGCGCTTGCAGTACTAGCTGCGGCTGACCCTCACATATACAAACACCTTAGAGCTATCGTGCACGGTGAGTTGTTAACGCTGACTTCAATAGCATGATTCCTCACGCGTACATGTAGTTACTGGAATGAGCCCTACTTCAAGGCGCTCGCCTCCATCGAAGAAATTGCCAAAGAGCATAACCTCACTCTTGCCGAGATCGCCTTGCGCTGGATCTCGCATCACAGTCTGATGAAGCGTGAATACGGCGACGCTGTAATCATCGGCGCGTCTAGTGTGAAGCATATTGAAGAAGTGAGTAACACGTCATGTGCATGTGAACCATTCCGGGGGACGGGCGCTGACGACGCTACGCGACGTCTTCAGAATCTCGTTGATTTGGAGAAGGGGCCGCTGCGTAAGTAACACGGGTGCATCTACTACGACTACCTGATAGCTGATGTGTGTCATGCATAACAGCGGATGCCGTTGTGAAGGCCCTCGATGATACGTGGTTCTCTGTCGCCCCGTATGCCACCAACTACTTCCACTGAAGGTGTGAAAGGTTGAGAGAATGAAGTAGACAATGGATTGTACAGTAGCATATATGTCTATCGGATGTGTTTTATGAGGCCAGGATGCGGACACAAGCCATCTTGCGGCAGTCGTCTCTACGATGATCTGGTTGCCGAACTTTCATGCGGTATTCTAATAGCGCTGAATGGTCGTGTTGAGACACGACTACTTCTCTCGTGCGCCAAGCATGCTAATGACATGCTCATAGACCGTGAAGACAATGCCCCCGCTCATCTAAAAAGATCGTTAAGGATGGAATCGCCAAGAGCAAGATAACAAGAACGTACGACCAGCCGTGCCAACCTCGGTGTCGTACCTGTCCAGAATCGCAGGATGCCCTCCTCGGTGAAGATCCTGTACGCGCAGTGGAACGAGTTACGGTATGCTTGTCGTGCCTCAAGAGACTGCATTCGGGTCTTAATGACGCTGCCAACAATTGTGTGAGGCATGCGGCGCAGAGTCTACTGAAGAAGCAGCGACATACTCGAGAGGCATAGTAGTGTAGACGGTCACAAGTCCCGCGATGGCGCCGATACCGAAGGTCACGCCAGTTGAAAGAGTTTGTCCAGGACGCGCGTTGCTGAGGACGAACTGCTTTATAGTTGTGTATGTCGTGAAGCGAACAGCCGAGTTTGCTCCTAATTTCCGGTTAGTATATGCCTCAGACAGCAGACGAGCTGAGCAGACAGACCTTGACGCATCATCTGCCGAAAGGACCTTGAGCAGAGCAAGCGAGCAGGATAAGAGGCTACTTACAACAGGGAAGAGACCACGATAGACACCGCGAAGACCCTCTTCTCGCACTATTGTAGCTGTGCCGTGTATAAGTCCCCGGAATCGCGGGTTGGGGCTCTTCGCATCGTCAATGAGCTTCGTTCTATAACCAAACGTTACACTGAGGCTCCTCGGAAGAATGCAGAAATGCACACTTTATTGTTTCCGACGGCGTTACGGCGAAAATGGCTTCCATCATGCCTGCGCCGAGACCAGCTATGGTGATGCGATCGTGTTCACTGTCATGCCTTGGGTCACAAAGTGGTCATACGCACCTGCTAGACTCCGTGGTGCGCTCACTTTACCCTCCATCATGAGCATGAGGGTGAGTTACACACGAATATGTCGGACATTTACTCACCTCAGGGTCGGCAAGCATGTGCTTGAAGTGGTCATACGAGAGGAATCGCACTCCAGCCTTTATGGAGTTGCCTAATGGTCAAATGCTCAGACGAATGAGTGAGGTGTACAAGTCCGATGTACACACCTACAACCAAAGCCATGCATCCTGAATAGAGTCCAATCACACCCTTCGTCTGTAATGTAGTACGGACAATCGTCCACGGCCCCTCCCGCTACCGGCAGAACGTTCAGCACCCGTAAGTGTACGGACTACCATTACATACCTTCCCACTGAATTGCGAGCGAGTCTTGACATACTCAGTAGGATAGGTCACGAACCTAAATCACCTAGACATACTCGATTGTGCGCTTTGGTGTATTAGAGAAAAGATGGCTTACGCCTCGATTGCTCCGGCGGTGGTCCCCGCGATGAGGGAATACAGAGGCTTTTCTTTCTTAGACATGGCAGTCCACTTGTGATTCCAGACACACAGTCCACAAAGTTCAAATGGATGATTAAGTGGTCTGCCAGTCAGTGGTGGTAAAGAGACAACGAGCGCCGACGAGCGTCAGGCGCCTTTCTTGCAGACTCCCGTGTACTCGCCTGCCTACCTCAAGCTGAGCCAGACGTTGTTTCCGATACTCTTATCATGCTTTTGCCGCTCATAGGGTCTCAGGGCTGCATCATACTCCTAAGTACTGCATTGGCGACGTCAGGTCCACACAAACAGCATCGCCGATTCCCGCCACGGCGAGCCGGGCACAGAACCAAAAGACACAATTGAAGATGCAACGGTCACGTCTCCCGCGGTACCTCTTTCTCAAGCTAGGGGACTCGAACAGCTGTATTACTCTTCACAACCTTGATGGAATGCAGAAGGCATCGAGAGCATTCGTGAGATCACGAGGACTCAAGCCGTGGTATGAGATACATTTACTCTAGATGATTCGTTTGGGACTGTTATCCTCTACTTCGTGGCCTATTTGGAAAATCTATCGATGACGCAGCTCTGCGTGATTATGTGCCTGAACGCATTTGATGTGACTGAGGGACGGTCGTTTGCTCCTTTGGACGACGATCACTGCCGAATATATCTTTGACAACCCCTCTACCGATGAAAGTCATTGCCCTACGACTCTCCCACAGTGGTAGGACAGATGTGATGCAGGCCGCCACGAAGAGCCATATGATCCCGATGATGACCCATGCCTTGAAGAAGTTCAGGGAGAAAACGTAGTGCGAAAAGAACATAGGGATGGGAATGAGCTAGCCCAACTACAGTCAGCGAAGTGATCACGGCGTGCAGGTAAGTCCGAGCCGCTCACAATGAGTACGATGAAGCTCATAATCGAGGACGCCCATGCGGCTCTCTTCAAGGAGCGCTTCAGTATCTCCTGTTCTTCTGGTCGCCCATTCAGTGACGCAACCTCCTTGACGGATAAAGCGACTATGTCCTCTTGTTCCTTCTCTCCGACCGTATCGCTGTCCTTGTCCTCCGATGACATCTTTCGCAAGGCTTCCGCATCCAATTTACGCCCGCGAGGGTTGATGTTCTTAGTCGCGGTCCAGTCGAAAGTTGTGTCAGGTTTGAGTAAGGTGATGACTGCTGCTATGATTCCGCCCGCCATGCAGGAGGCCATGTTGCCGGCCAGTGTGGAGTACGGATCGCCTATCGCGGAGTTCAATCGTCAGTTTTTCACGCTTGCATGCATGCCACCAGGGGAAGGCAATACTAACAGAGTCGGACTCACCGGTAGATGCAATGGTGAGTTCCCCGTAATACGTCTTCGCAACCACAAGCCAGCTGATGACACCGACGGCGAGACCACCAAGGGCACCGCCAATTGCAGCGGCGCGTGTCTGCTTGCGCCACAGGATGGTGAATATGATGGGTCCGACGGCAGGCGTGTAAATCGTGCCTGAGAACAAATACAGCCAGTTCAGCGAAATCCCGATGGCATTCCAGATGCAGGCGACGCTGGACATGACGATAGCCCATATGGCCACCATCATGTGGGAGACGCGGATCAGCCGTTCAGGGGATGCCTGAAGCGTTGGTAAGTTTCCTTCGGTCGAGTGTAACATGGAGACGGACCTCGGGGTTAATGTGCAGCTGGTAGATGTCGAACGTGAGGACGGACGATGTAGCGATCATTTCAGAGGAAGATGCCGAAGTGACGGCCATGAAGAGCAAGATTAACTATGCGAAGTCTCATTATGAACTTCGAAGAGAAGAAGCCACAAGCGAGACACGAAGTTACCATTGCTACGGCACCGCCCTTGCCGAGAAGTGTCACGACGGCTGCAGGTGCTGTCAATCCCGCGTTGAGCTCGGTCGACGACAGTCCACCAAGGTATGGGAAGCTCGGGTCTATTTATGGGCGAGTCAATGCATCGTTTGTGAGTGTGTGTGACAAAATATAGCTCACTGTTGGCCAGTGCGACTGCAGCCAGACCCATGACGGTCGACATGGTCATTGGAACAGCAAACCATGCAATGCCGCCCATCAAGTAGGCATACATGGTCGTCTTTGCCTGCGAAGCGATAGCGCGCTGCCAATACCCCTAAGATTATAAGCCAATCTTAGGCTCTGCAGAATATCCATGTGATCGAGAAGAGGCGAACCTGGTCTACAGTAACATTACCGAAAGCGCCGAACATCTGGATTATCAAGAAGACAAGTCCATCTTGCGTCATAACCCGTCAGGACCCCCCTCGGAGTGCATGTTAGAACTATAGGCTCACTGTTTGACTTTAATGTGAGATACGATCCGTCCTTGTTGCCCGCAACCGGACGTATCTCTGCTGCCTCAACGAGCATGTGATACATCCCTTCCATGCCGCCAATGAGGTCGCTTTTCGTGTAGGTGTAGAAGAAGAAATAAAATAAGATGATCATAAGGATGGTTGTGTGAGAATAATCACCTGGGGAAATGATGCGGCGGTGAGCGAGTACATTATCGTGTATCTGAGGGGTAACTCACACAGGAAAGTAGCTCGCAGGCCCCCAAGGATCACATATGCCATCACGCCCACAGGGATGAGGAAGTTTGCCGCATAGATGTTCATCCCAGTGAAGGCATTTACGACCGCACTACCCCCGAGCAATAGCATGCTGGACACGATCAAGTTTGTGGCAAGCGCAAATGTCGCGAAGATGAAATGCGCGGTGTTTCCGTACCGTGCATGGATGATCTCAAGGTACGTGTGGCAGTACGGCGCGATTGTCTTGACGCGTACGGCTAGGATGCTCATCAGGAAGACTTGCAGCGTCGCCCCCGCAGCGTAGTAGTATCCGCCTGCGGCGCCATACTCATAGGTGACGGTGCAGCTTTGGAGGAGTGTCGCTGCCCATGTCCATGCTGAGACAATACCTGCGGCGATAAGACCTGGCTTCACGGCGCGCGAGGCCGTGTTGAATTCTTCTGGTGTTGTCGTGCGGAAGGAGGTGTAGCGGTTTTGGAGCACAGAAAGCACCATCATAAGCACCGCGAAGACGAACCCTATTCCTAGGACCACGCCGTAGCCGATACCCTGTGAGAGGATTTGGGCGCCTTGGGTGCTCAGCATGCTGGAGGAAGACGTGATTGAGTATCCGGAATCTGGAGGACTTCGTCGAGGAGGACTATTTTAGCTGCCTCAAGCTTTATGCGAAGGGAAGGGGCTTGGCTCGGAGACGGACTTGGATTGACCCTTGAGCATGCCTATCGAACGCACAGGACCGATAAGGAGGAAGCGAGGTGAGGGAAGCCTTATAGAGTCTTCTATCGGCTAAAAGCTCATTATCCTGGCTGGGGCGAGTAAGGTCTGATGGGGCAGGGTGTTGCTCTTCCATGGTATCGATCCTTACGGACAGACCCACGGTCAGAATAAGTATGGAGCAGCTGTCACTCGCACACCTCAATTGGATAGCTCCTTGACGTACCAGCATTCCGTATCAAGATATGAGTCAGTGCACCTACCCGCTTCCTCGACGGTGAGCGTCACCAATGGCGCTTGATATGTCTCATGTTGACACAAGCTCGACCTGCCAATCTCTGTATGGCCTTCCTTGGTAATCTTCTCGATTACAAAGTATTACCGCGTTAATGTCTTTTGAATGATGAGCTTACAGTGGCAACGACCGAGGCGTCTGTCATAGCTCTCTTGCTAGACCTCGGAATGCATCCAGCAGCAATCATGTCCATGAGCTCAAAGCTGTACATTCGATCAGGTCTCTCGGTTCGCACAGCACGGTGATATCTAGTTCTAGCTTGACGTAATATGTCACTATGTGACATGGCTGCGAGATGGATGACCACGCTTAATGCATGTGCAGATGTAGGTGGATGCGTATTCGGACTGATTTTCAAAACCAGCTGCTTATTGGCGTATGTTCTCCGCTGTCGCTGAATGCTGAATTTTGATTGACGAGTAGACAATGATGTATTGGCACAATATGTTGTCGTCTCGTTCTGTCACGATGGTATGCTGCAATTGAGAGTATTTGTTCCGAGTGGACACTGGCCGATTATTATTTATTATGCGGGGTCCAGAACATGTTATAATACTGCGCCCGAAATCGCATCGAATGAACTGCGAACTTCTTACTGGACTAGAGTCGAGACAGGTGTGGATCGTATAAGGCTACGAAGAGGAGACATACTATCTTGTATCCTGAGCTTTCTTCTTAGCAACCTCCATCTCTTCGGTGTGTATCCCCTCCATCTCTCCCAACGTTGAATTCTCATTTGTCTTCGCGTGTGACTCGTAGCCACTCTGTTGCAAGCTCTCACATGCATCAACAAGTTGAGTGGACAGATTTGGGTATGTGGAACCAGCATGTCTGCGTGGCATACGAATGTATCAATAGCACTCTTCAGTGTAATCCTGTCATTGATGTCATGGCAATATCTAGCATGTTGATACGGACGAAAATATTCAAGTATACTATGCCGATGACAGCAAATTTAAATAACATCGGTCGACACTTACGTGAAGACTTACGTAGTCCACAGGACCCAGGGAAAGCTGAGTGGCGTAAACATACGCAGCGCATGATTTTCTGATAAGATTATTGAGCTCTATCGCTTGTTCGTATTCTCAATATATGTCATATGCATACACGCCCTATCATCACTGTGTAATGGAGCAACACAATATGTGCAAGACGCTGAGTTCGTAAGAAAACCGATGATAGAGGGCGTAACGCCACAATGATACCGGCCGCAATAGAACCATACTGATCAGTGTTGTTTAATTATTAGACATCTCATGAGGGACGGAAATCGAGCATAATACATACAATCATATAACCCCAAGATCGCCTGTCGCCGTTTCGGCAGCACTGATAGCACTGGATTCGACGGCAGTAGCCTCAGCGGACTTAGTAGCAGCCGCCCCTGCGACGGATGCATCGACAGCAGCAACCTCGGCAGTAGCAGCTTCTGCCACGGGCAGTCTCGACAGCAGCGGATTCTCCAACACCCTCCACAATAGCGGGATCGGCCTCAGCTGTCGCAAGCGCTTCAGAGACGTCGGCGTTGAGTTCCTCTAGGCAGATCCCCGCGGCTGCGATCGAAAAAGAATCTATGAGTAACTTGACTAGGACATCCACAAGGACTCAAACTGACAGACGCCCTCCTCGGTGGCGGCGGAGGTCAAAGCGCGAGAAACGAAGCCTATTCTTGATTCACGATCACCATTGGTATCACACAATCATATGGTATGGGATACCTCGAACCTGGCATGCTGCGCAGGACAGGGCGATTTGCTGAGTTCTTCGCATCGACAGAATCATCTTCTGTTTGGTGAATACAGATCACGACGTAATTCCATAATACGCTATCATGTCAAGAGACACAATGATCAATCAGCAAATCATATTCACCAAGAGTCGCCACCTACACGGTTTCTGGTGAGCACCACATGGCCTGATAGAGATCATATCAATTGACTCTAACCTGTCGTAAGCACTGTTACTCGAATTACACAGGGTGCATCGCCGCTGCTGTGGGTAAAGACCGTGTGGATTTGGCCGGACCGGCAGGCGTGGTCGTCGTCTTCTTGAGCTTACAATCATGTGGTGGTTCCATCGCTGCACGCTAGATGCAGCGTTCGCTTTCACGCTGCCATGCGTTTGGGGAAAGGTGGTCGACGGTTCAGGCGGGAGCAGAGCTACACTGTTTGTATTTTCGCCTGAAGTTGGGTGTCAGCTTAAGTACGTCCATTCATGCGGGTCTATTATGCATGTCGTTTTGAGTAGCGCTGGAATCTCGTCGGGCGAGTTCGCTTTATCAACGTGTCTCGCCAATAAGGACAGTCTTTAGTTCGATAAAGCCGGGATGTTTCATTATGTCACATGAGTAGTTAGAACATAGCACAATCCTGAGATTAGACCTACCTGTACGGAGTGTACAACGTGCGCCCCTGGTGGAAAAGGTGGAAAACTCATACACTTTACAGGAATGGATCGCTTGACATCGCGCTAATTGATGGAGAGCGCTGGTCACAGTTGGATTAGGTGCATTAGGGCTGATCACAGTACGGATTCCATTGCGGATTCCGCGCTGGATTTCGCGCCTCGGTCGAGCGTATGCGGCATTGTCCGCGCACTGCCCAAAGGCTTACATAATAGAAATATATGTATCGCTTTTAGATGCCTAACAAAGCGGGCGGCAATTGAGAAATATGTGCTCATTACGTAGTACTTTGAGCGGTGCGCGGACAATGCCGCATACGCTCGACCGAGGCGCGAAATCCAGCGCGGAATCCGCAATGGAATCCGTACTGTGATCAGCCCTATTTCCCACCGCGGAATCGCAGGTGGCTCGTTTTTGATACACCATGACACATGATGGAACATGGGTCGATACTAGACACTGTGTTGCGCGCAATCGCCGCAAGGCGCGGCCACCAGATGACATCTGTCCGGTATGCATGATTCAACACGATGGTCTCGAAACTGCTGTTTATGTAATTTGATGGAGAATTCCATCTGGCTTTCATTGTGATACCTGAGCGGCGAGATGTTCGTTCCGGCGAGGCTATACATCGATAGGTATATTATCAGCCTGGAAGCCCGGTCTGGTGATGATTAATCGCACCCCTGTTCACTCCCAGTCACTTTCTCCGTTGCAGCCTATCTAGATGTCTGACAGTTACACAGAAGCTGAGGCGAATGAGGTGCTACAAGAAACGTATGTATTGTATGAGCTCGTTTCTTGCCCATCGACATTGACCCAACCGACAGATTCATTAACGGCTGTTGCAAAATCGCTGTGATAGGTACAACCTCATCATTATCGACTGCGATGCCAGCTCACATGTACCACAGCGGCAATTTTATATCAGTATTTGACGACAATGTCTGACGAAGTCGCGATCATCGTCAAACATAAATCAACCAAGGCTATCATAATTTTCTTGCTGAACCGGTATTCTTTGGTCATGTTCTCAGCGGCAGCACTCGCAGACTTTCTTCCTTGGGATACACAGCTGGTGCGTATATCATACGTCGGCATAACTTCAAATATCAACTGATCAAGTATCAGAGGTGCGCAACACTCCTGACTAAAACACTACCGGCAACTAAGCTTGCACAGCTGCGAAGCAACAATGGCAGTATACTGCTTTTGTACTCTCTTACTTTATAACGTGTCTCTTGGTATGCTCTGTTTGGCTGGTCAGGTAGGGAGACTGATCTTTATATGTATCTAGGCTTTTCTATCTTGCGTGTTCACGCAGTCAGTGAACACAACCTGCTAGTTACTTTAACGGCGTTCCTGCTGGGAATTCTGACAGTCGCTGTCAATTTAGTCAGTAATAGGTTAGGGATCAAGGTTGCTGAGATTGAAATTTGCAACAGTACCTGTACATTGCAAGGCATTATGAAGGTGTGACACGAGCTGCTGGCATGCCATTCTGTATCTTCAAGAAGTACTATTCATCGACAATTTATACCGAGTGCGTTTAGGCAGATCTTGCATAAAATACACTGACATTGTTCCGCAGGTGTACGCAAACTGAACACTATGACGTTGACGCTGCATTGACCTCATCCGATGTGTACAGTGGCATTAGGTGTACGTGCTTGCGCTGTAGCCTTTGACATGTTGGTTCTTGTCGTATTCTGGTACAAAACATACGGGATCAGGCAAGACGCAAAGAAAGCCAATGTGAGAACATCCCTTGTTACACTTCTGCTCAGGGACGGTGCGTACAAATATATATTACCCGGTAAAAATTGCAGTTGATCATAAAGCATCAGGCACGTTCTACTTCATGTAAGACCACTCACAGACCTCTACTGTTTTATGGGCTGAAAGGGAGATTTAGTGCTCTGCTCGTCCTCAACCTATCTGAGATCATTCTCATTGAGGTACAAAATGTAATCGCACTCTTCTCTCTGTGCTGGAAAATCTCTAAAATACCAATAGGAGGCCTTCGCGTATCAGACAGACTTCATTGCGCCGTCAGTGTCATTTGTATCTTGCACCTACAACCATCTGATAGCTGTGGTTTCACGCAGGATATCGTCGATGATCATCCAACAGTGCATTATTAATCTGCAGAAGCTGTCAAATGATTGCTTCGCATCAATATCCTTCGATCAGCTGTCATTTGTCTTTCCTGCGATCAATTCAGCTACTATGCAATTCGCAGATGACTTCAGCAGTGGTAAGGCAACTCACATATCTCAGTTGCACCAGTAAACTTATTCATGAATAAAAAGAATCTCCAAATCAGTCGGATATTGAGCACCCTAGCTGTGGCATTGATTGCAATCCGTCATTCGTCCAAGTAGCATGATGGAAGTCGCGGAATAGGTAATTTGTGAGAACATGCAGCTAGCGCGAGGCCGGCGTGTTCGTGGTTAATACTCTCTGTAGTATCCCGTCAAATGTTGTGAATAGATCATAACGTGGCACACCTTGTCGCAGGCTGGCCCGGCAATATGAACCGAAAGCCTGCTATAAGGGCTCTCCGAATGGTCTTGCGGAGCATGTCACCCGCATGGTAACTCACATAGTCTCTGGTACGCCATGAGAATTCTCAGTGATGTGTGTGATTTTGCGTGCGGCCGTGTGAGCGTAGCATAGCTCAGTAGGTGTCAAATGTGACCACCTCAACCATATTCCATCAAGCTTCTGCTTGTTTTTGCCTCCGCTCATCGATTCGCCCAGGTCTCATCGCCGCATGGCCAATTCGGCATTTTGAGCAGAACTCTAAGACCATTGAAAGCGGCAGGAGGGCATGAGGTACGAAGTCATACGTGATACACATGAACTGAGACCGCCTTGATGAACCATATGATTGACATGAGGTACGCATGAGGGGGCTATCGCTGAGCTTTGAAGGGAGGCGGTAGGCAACAGATTTATGATGCTGGAAGTGTCATACCCCGCTCGGAAAGTCGAGATTCCGAGATTCCTTGCCAGCCTTCGAGGTATAGATTGCGTCGAGGGAGCGCACCAGGCAAAGATCGAACGTGATCGGCCCGAAAGTTGAACGAGAGACCGGGCGTTCGGGAGAATTCAATTAGCAGCAGTGGCCGATACCACGTATCTGAGCCGAAATAACTCCCTTGCAAGAGTGAGGAACGACAAACACCGCGCGTCGGATGGTCTTGTTTACGGCTGAGACGGGCTCGGGCTCAAAGCATCGTGTGATCCCGGAGCACCACGCCGCAGACGCATTGTCTCCATGCACTAGGGTTCCAGCTTCAGAACGGACCGTAACTGATTTAGTACCACACCAGTCCTTCGTGTCATTTGTCGTGGCTCAAAGAACGTACAGTTGTCCACGCAGTATCACAAAAGACGGAGCCTCGCGTCTGACCGATCCGATCGCCTCACGAGCATTGCCGACATTGAAATGTTCTTTTGCTATAGATGATGTGGTGATGGCTAAGTCATGCGCGTTATGCTTCGAAGCCACCTTTCGAGTATCACGAAACTTACGGACATGCCATCGTCACTCGCATTCGACATTCCTCATAATTCATCGTGCCTTACCATGACTCAGGATCCTGTCACTCTTCAAGGAGGGTACAACGAACGGCTCCGCGGAAGCTATGCGCCAAAGCCAGACAGCCTGGAGCACGAGGGTGAGAGTGAAGATGGGCAGAGGGCAGTGCAACAACCCATGCAGTACTTCGGAACAGACAGAATTGTTGAGTGTGCTTGAAGAGTCGTACCGGATCCCTGAGACGCGCCGCATGGCGGATATGATAGAGCCAAAATATGACCTAGACCAGATGCACAAACGTGCATGCCATGAGGCCACTGAATAACGACTTCGTTTGGGGCGTGGTTGCCTGACGTCTAGGAGATTCGCCATCGTAAGATAGGTTCATCCTGCAACTGCGGGAAGTCGGACTGCATGCGGGAGGGCATATAAGCAGCTTCGAAAAGTTGAGTGGCAGTAGTTTCGCCGCCAGATACTTTCCCAGAGTACACCTAAACCGCACCATGAACTCCCTTACACTCGAGATACCCCCCATCCCTGTGCCTATCTGGAGCGATGGAACCACTCCCACGCCCATAGGGGCGTTCGAGGACGATCGCCAGGAGTTCGAACGAAACCGGTGGAAGTTCGAGAAAGATCGCCAGGAGTTCGAACGACACCGGTGGGAGTCCGAGCGCGGCCAATGGTCCAATTCGCAGGGACCCAACCACGACAACATGAAGCAGTCGACGAAGTGGGTCACCAGAGATTTCGCGGTCTCGCAGGACACAGACTTTGAAAGTGAGCGCCAGGCGTTCGAGAGAGACAGATGGGCATTCGAGAGAGACAGATGGGCGTTCGAGAGGGATCGGTGGGCATTCGAGCGAAAGAGGTGGGAACACGAGCGCGAGCAGTGGAAACGTGCGTCATGACGAGGATAAAGAAATGTGTGAGTTTAGCTTTTTCTTCGTCAGGCAAATAAGTAGAGACTTACGTGATTGCATTAGATATCAGGGGGCCATCGAGATTACGCAGTTGCGTTCCGCTTGAATTGGTAACGAGAACACGCAATATCACGAGCTTGTAGACATCGATATGCAGGCGATTGACCCAGTCAGCGTGACGTGTCCACAGTAAGATAACACAAGGCTTTTTTGCTGGAAACATAGCTAGGACTGCTGTTGTGATAGAGGAATACGAAGAAAGCATCTTCGCACGACACACCGGCAAACGTGCAACAATACTTTCTTTTCTGTGCTTGCTGTCCGGGCTTCTACCTCTCTATTTCTCTTCCTCCAAGTCTCGGCTTGCGAAGGTGGTGATGCTGAAGACGTGATGAAGCAGTCGGCGTAGGCGGATTGGAGGTGTAGGAGCTGGTTTACATACCGTTCAGGAAGGTATTTTACTGTTTGAGGACTTTGTCGTGTATGATCGGACAGCTACGAAGTTTGCATGTTCCGTGTATGTCGTTCCAGGGACCTGGACTCTTCTTACGTCATCTCTGTCTCCTTTATATACTGGTTTCGACGCTTAGGAATTCAGTTTTCCTCCTCCCATCATCCGCACGTCTGCCAATGCGGGCGGGCGACTCGAACGCTGCACGTACCAGGTAAGCATTCGTAGTATATCAGCGCTCAGCATGAACGCAGACTAACGAGTCAAAAACAACACGCGTTCATATTTTTCTTATCAAAAAAAGGCATTTGATTTGCTGGCGCGTACGCACACATATTGACATTGCTGTCTTACCGCGGTCATATTTCTGGATAGCACATTGACGCTTGACGACCATGGTGAAGTAACTTACCGTCAGAAGTGGGCGTAGCGGCCATTCGAGAAGCGCCGAGAGGGATCGACTGATCAGGCTGATGACCGACGTCATGATCTAGAAGCTACCCCGCCCAGACATCTGCGCCAGCCATCATGCTCATGTGTCGCCCACCGTCGTCACGCGTATGCTAACATGGATACCCTCATGTCTTACATACCTCACCACTCCTCCTCACCCAAGGCCAACGTTCTCCTGCTCAGAACTCCTAGCGGAAACGGCAGCGACCGCTATGAGACCGCCTTGAAAGAGCAGCATTACAATCCCGTCTGCATTCCCGTCGTCGAGACGACCTACACGAACCTCCACAAGCTCAAGGAGATCATAACGGAGGGGCCGGCGAAGCGCGGCTACGCGGGTGTCATCATCACCAGTGCTCGTGCGTGCGAGGCGTGGAAGTCCGTCACTCTCGAGCTCCTTGAGGGCGACCCGGAAATCGAAGAAGATGAATCCGGTGTGTTTCACCTGCTTTCGTGTTCCCTCGCTACTTTGGGGGACACTCACCCAACCTATATGTCGTCGCTCACCCACGCGTCGAACTCCAGCCGACTGGGCTAAGGTTCCCTTCTACGTCGTCGGAGACGCCACCGCACGCGTGCTCACCGACATTCGCGAGACTGTGGGCAGCTACCCCTACGCTCCGCGCGATATACGTGGTGCCGCCGACTCCGGCACCTCCGAGAAGCTTGCGCGCTTTATCCTCCGTGACCTCCGCGACGCCGAGGGCAAGACGCTGCTCTACCTCACGGGCGATAAGAACCGTGACACGCTCCCGAGCGTGCTTGACGGCGGCGGCGTGCGGCTTGACTCGCTGCAGGTGTACGCGACGCGCGGCTCCGAGTCGTTTGCGGACGATCTGCGCCGCGTACTCGATTCTGTCTCGTCAGGTGAGCGGCGGCGGCGTTCACCCCTCCGCACATGGACGCTTAGACTGCATATATGCGCGGCTTAGAGTCCTCAGGCCGGTGGTGGGTCGTGTACTTCGCCCCCTCTGAAGCCGAATTTACAACCCCTATGCTGCGGGAGCATTTCGCGCTGGCATCTGCCGCTGTAGACGAGGAGGCATCTAGCGCGACATCGACAGGCAAGCGGCCAGCACGAATTGCGACTATCGGACCCACCTCCGGCGCACACCTGCGCGAGAAGCTCGGCTTGCGCGTCGACGTCGTCTCGCCGCGCCCAAAGCCCGAAGCACTGGTGGCGGCCATCCACGATTACGACGCGACGCACCAATAGATGACGTATCTACAATGTAAGGAATTTGCGGCTCGGGGGTTGCGGAACGCTGACATGCCAAATGTTCATATTTGCCTCGTAGGCCAGAGAGGACGTGACTTAGTGTTATTGCTATGTATACGCGACTGCGGGCGCATATAGCTGATATATCATGTAATTATGCTTGGCTACGGACGGGGTGACTGTATGCGCCTCGAGAGCAAGGGAAAGCGTCGGGCGGCGCCAGCCAGGACCTCCGTGTTATTATCTTTAGTAACAGCGCGCGCCGAATACTCCGTCAGCCAAGTAAGACGTGAAGCATCCGTCTTCCGCCTCGGCCGCACTCACTGGCAAGGCGTCGCAGTCACCATGCTCTGTTTGACTTCAGGCTACAAACTGCCTCTTGCACACTGTTCTGGAGCAATGCCCGTTTGGTAACAAGCCACTGCAAGGTATTGTGACGGCAACGACCATCTATCTCTGCTGACTCCAACGCACTGGCTCTCCCGGAAAGGCGCAGCAACGACTGCGTCATTCAATGCAGGGGACATCGGCCGAGATCGGTAGGCCTCTACATACCTCTGTGGCCTGCGGCTAGCGTTATTGGGCCCGGCGGTGTGCTGCGTGCGTGCGTGCCATTTCCGCGTAAGGGCGATCTCTCAAAGGACCTCGTTTCGACCACAGGCACACCAGGAACATCCACCACGCTGGAACGTATGCACGCCCTTTCATCACACAGCCGAGAGCCACCACCCCAGGATTCAGTATCACGGGCGGCCACAGTCTCGACAGAACCGTCCCGTAGAAGTAGATGCGGACCACATTCATGAAAACCACCGTATGAGGCCAGGCCTGAGGCTTGGGTTCGCTGGACGGGTGCATGAAGATCGAGGGGACGATGCCTGAGTGAGCCGCAAACCGTTGATCGGGCATTCTAAGGGTGTTCCTGCTCCTGACCGCCAGTACGTGAAGTCGTAACGTACGAACCGGTGCCCATCGACATCTTGGATGTGGTTATGCCGATATGACGGCGAGAACAGGCGCCAGGGTGGTCTCAGGAAGGTTTGTGTGGTTTCATCGATAAGCACCATGTCGGTGTGACAAGTAAATCCGACGCAGGAGAAGAAGACTTTTTATGATGGTCCATCCGTGGATACATTGGGCCGCAGATACGCCACGATGGAATGGTCCTTGATATGAACAATGCGAAAACTCTCCGAGTCTGAGTCAGTCACGATGAACGCAAGCGAGACGACACCTGTCAATCATCCATTATGGACGTATCTAGAAGCGTCTTGTTCAATAGAATGCGTACGGCAGGTCGAGGGGTGTATTCTCACCTTATTGCAAGCATCGCGTAATCGGGTGGCCAGCTTCTCATCCGCGTCCAACAGCTTCTCCCGCATGCTGCCGTCACTGTCCAGCTCCTTGCTGTACGCGATGGCGAGGACCCCCTCGACGCCCTTCGCCGGGAGGTCCGGCATCACCTTCGTGTGGATGTCCGTCAGCAGGCGGTCTGCCATGTACCCGGACTTGTCGCCCTTGTCGAGGCGGAGGTCGCTCCAGTGCTGCGCCTTCTGCATCTTCGACTGCGACGCGAAGAGCATCCTGCGGCGGCTGCCCTCGTACACGAGCTTGTGGTAGACCGTGCGGTAGTCGAGGAACTGGTGGTAGACGGACGCGGGCGACGTCTCCATCTCGGGCACCCAGGGGTCCGACTGGAGGAAGAGCGCTTGCGACGCTGCCTGCCTTGCCTCTGGGGTCCACTTGCGCGGCATCGCGATGAAGTATGCGCGCAGGGGGTCCGCGTGTGTGCACTGTAGGAAGGCCCTTCGAGCGAAGTCCATAGCAAATGGCATCTTGTACTTCTCGGCAGTGTCGTGCAGGGCTATGGCCTCGTCGAGATCTGACACGCAGGGATCCTCCATTGGGTACGCGACTTGGAATAGCATATGCAATATTCGACCGGACTCCGGGAGTGATGTAGTAGTGAGGGCGAATGAGGGCTGCGACAGCATCTCCGCCAGCACCGGTGATGCGAGGGTGAGTATTGTACGCGACAAACGTAGGTCGACATTGTCTGAGGACCGTATGATGATGTCGGCAGATGGGTGGTTGAAAATGGCAGAAGCCACCACTGGCCTGGGGGAGGCGGCGCTCTCTGCCGTGCCGACGCCGACGCTGGCGGTCCCTGGTCGCTCGTCAGGCCCTGGGTGACAGAAGGTGAAGGACTGCGGGCGCTCAGGATGCATGCGACGGAACCTCAGAAGTCTGTAGAGCGCACCGGCGGTGATGTTGTCGAGCTCGGCGACGTAGTTGAAGATCTGCCAGCTCGTGCTGGCGAGCGCCGCGGCGTGTGCGACGTCCTCGAGCCCGAGCTGAATGGCTTTGGCGTATATTCGGATCGTCCGCTCGTGCAGAGATGCGTCCGTGCCAAGCTGCAGGATAGACTTCTTCATGCGAGAGGCCGCATCCTCCATGTCGTACTTCTTAGCGGCCGTGAACACGGCCGCTAGGAGGTCCACATCGTCCACTGCCTCTGGGTCCGGCGTAGGGTAGCACAGACGTAGAAGACAGTCTAATGTCTTGCTGTCCTCAGGAACAGGTATTATGGGGATGCCTCTTTCAGGGTGTATATCCTTTGGATGGGGGTTCAGGGGCTGAGGGATACTGAACAAATCATGGAAGAAGCCCGACACCATGCGTAGCACGACTTTGTAGACATGAAAGTCGACATTGTCAGACGAACGAAGGATTATGTCTGCGTCGTCCTTGTCGAAAGGTGATAATGCGGCCTTAGGTTCCATGTTAGGTTCCATGGGCTCTGAGTTCTGTGCGCAATAATGTTGGCGGCAGTATATACAGAACGTACAATGTACGCAGGACTAGTGCACTGCATACGATGATTAACAGTTGACCGTGATCGATCATAATTGTCGAATGTCAAAATCAACAATCCCACGCGCGGGGATGCGCAGATACAAATATTGTCTAAGCGAGCGTTGACGACGGACACCCAGCATGGACGCACGATTACTTGCTCATAGTGCCCACAAGAGAATCTCACGTTTGCACGATCCATCAAAATTCCGGCAGTTTACAATTCGTCTACATATGCACAATGAGAAAAGGCCGCATCACACTTCCCTGTCAGAACAAGCCCAGCAGGTCTTCTTGCTGTGATTGCTGCGTAGGTGGCGAAGCTGCCTGGAGCACCGATGGCGTCGCAGGCGGCATGGGGGAAGCCGCCGTGTTGAACGAGAAGCCGGCCAGCGGATTCGCGCTCTGGCCTGGCTGCACAGTTGGAACGCTCATGTTGGCGCTGCCAAAGATCGATACAAGATCGTCGAGCGGATTGCTGGAAGTGCCTGCTAGGATATTGGCTGCAGCTGGCGTCTGCGCGAGGACAGTCGTCGCAGCTAGGCCGGACGGCTGCTGCCCCCCTTCCGCTCCGTCGTCCGCGAAGTCGAGTAAATTCTCAGCTTGTTGTCCTTGAGCGACGGTCTGCAGCGCCTTTTGTGCTGCAACGCGCTCGTCCGCGATTCTGATTTCATTGTGGGTCAGTTGAAGGTGTGAATAGCACTTTAGTGCACGTACTCTGACGCTTTTCGTTGCAATGAGTCGATCCCGATACGCCCCGGTCCGACGAACGTCTCTGCTGGCTTGTGATACACACTTGCCAGACTCGAGACCTCCCCTAGTAGCTCCTCAAGCAATTGGGGCGAGACTGTCGTCCTAGGCAACGAAATTGGCGGCCGCTGCGAAAGCACCACGGCCTGAAAGCGATGCATGACTGGGGTGATACCGAGAGAGAGCAAGATCCCATACACACCTTGGCGGCTCCTGGGTCCGTTGATAGCAATCGCCAGTAAATGTAAGCGCGATCCCGGACATCCGGTGAGTCGCAATCTTTTGTTGCAGTGTTGAGTACTCTTTGGACGAGGCCCTGCGAGGAGTCGGGCTTTTGCAGGAACAACTTCACAACCGCCGTCAACGTTTGCAATTGCACCTGTGCATTTCAGTTCTAGTGGGGATCATAGACACACAAGGACAGCTAGTACGTACAGGATATGACTCTTCTGTGAATGTGTCAACGAAAATGGCGAGCAATTCGTCTGCGTTGTCGATCTTATTCGCATACTCTCCAATGATCCATATGAGCGAGGCCTTGGCCTCTGGCTCATCCAGCTCGTCGAGATTCGCGCACAGTGTGGGGATGACACCTTCGTATGTGGATGGGTATTTTCGGAAGATGTCCTGTCGCAGAGATGAGATTCCTGATGGAGCGATGACAGCTAAGCTGGCACGACTTACCTTCATCACCACGACGGCTTCTTGCACCACGTAACTTACTCGCGTGCCAATGAGCTCAAGTAGCACGTTCACGCATCGTTCTGCAGCCTCATCAATCTTGATAGCTGTCTGGCCAATCGCCTTGATGCTTCGCCGCACAAAGTCGACATCAACTTCCGACGCATACCTGAGACACATGTTAGCTGGTCGTTGCGCAGCACCACCGGATGTACTGACTCCTTCAGCTCGCTCAGAAGCGCATCGACGTTGCTCTCGCCCGCAAGGCGCACCATGATGTCGAGCTTCTCGACCTTGACGTACAGCGGGTCGTTGTACTTGCAGAAGAACACACGCATCTCGTTCGACAGCAGGTCTGGCCGCTTCTGCAGCAGAAGATTGATATTGCGCAACGCAACCCATTGCACCTCCGGGGGGTTCGAGAGCAACGTGACGAGCGGCGGCGCCATCTTGCGGATGAACGTCTTTGTAAGGTTGTCTTGGCGTACGCTGCGCATGTGGATCATGATGACCTGTTGGAGCGTGCTTGCCTCGGTATATGCGCGTATCAAGGGTGCTTTAGACGTACCTTCACCGCCGCGAGGACAACACTCGCATTCGCATGCTGGAATTGCGGCACGACACGCTCGCAGATGTGCTCACTCTCTTGTGCGTCTTGGGTTTCGTAACGCGCCAGCGCGTTCAGAATGGCCACACGCCCCCATTCCGAACACTCGTTGAGAGCAACGAGGAGTTTGTTCAGGATGACGGACGTGATGTGGAAGTGATCTGAAGTCGTGCCTGCAGCTACTGCCGCGGTGTGGATATCGCTTAATGCAGCAACGGTGTTGGAGACAACCTGTATTGATGAGACGTACGAACGCATGCACGCGAAACATGAGGCATACCATGGGATTGCTATCCGCGATCATCTCCTGCAGTGTCTCCAGGAACCCGTTCTCGATCACCAGCTCGGGCTTGAGATCGTACAGCTTCGCGACGCATAATGCTGCTGTCTTGCGCACATATGGGTTGTCGTCCCGTAAACATTTCTGCAGAGGGTCGCACAAGTAGTCTATGATCTTCTCCGCGCGCAGGCAGCCCATGGTCCGGATCGCGAGCGCGCGAACGAGTGGGTTCGGGTCGTCGGTGTCCTTCACGAACGTGTTGACGGCAAGAATAACGAGCTCTGGCTGTGTCTTGGCATAGTTCATGAGATACAGATATACGAGCTTCTTCTGCTCCAAGTCATCGGTTTGCATGTTCTTGAGTACGTCCGGGAACAATCCGCTGACATCTGCAGGATGTTTAGTGACACTTAGCTGCGACTGTGGCTAGAAAGCGGCGCACCTACCCTTCTGCACAGTCATGTTAGCAATGACTTTCTTGATCGCATCCTTGCGCTTTTCCCGGTACTCACTATTGAGGTCCGCGCTGAGCTCGAAGTTCTCTCCCTTGCGGGGAGGGCCGCGAAGACCAGACATGATATGTCACAGCCAAGAGAGTAGCGAGGCAAGCGAGCAACTTCAAGGAGATCTAATGTGCAGCAGGAGCAGCTGAGTTCGGGAAATAGGCGTGTCAGGAAGAGCAAGAGCTATGCTAAACCTAACCCAGGCTGGTCTCTGGCATTTGGTTACCGAAAGGGGACCTCGATATACCGCTCGATGCACGCATGATCGGCCATGGCTCTCGTCTCGCAACGCATGCTTGCGGTATAACTTGCTTTTACTTGCTCAGTTTTCAGCTTGAATCCCGTCCATAAGATGCCAAGGGTGGTAATATCCCGGCCCCTTGTGCCCCCCAGTGCTCCTACCATTGTCCTACGAACCCCCAAGCGGGACAGTCCGATAGTGAACGAAATACACGTAAAGATCTGACTTTTCGCTAATTTCGCGTGTCACTTGCATCAGATATGGAGCGTGGATTGCTATCTGAGCTCACTGGCGCGTTTCCCAGCGCGATGCAAGCGACGCAGATGCATGCATCGGTATACCATAGAAGCATTTGTGCCGCGTTTCTGTACCAGAAACACGGCTCGTGGGGCCATTGGTGAGTGGCAATCATGTCTTCTAAAGCCCCTCGAGCATTCTTGGCTTTATACGGCAGAGACACGAGGGGTTGACGGCGCCACCGCCGTGCTTATATCTAACGCGCCTTTGTTGCCACCCTGACCGCCACTGGCTCAACAATCTTGCTCTAGTGCGTATAATGCCCTCCTCTCCGTCCTTAGGCCTACGGATCACGGCAACTTCGCCGTTCAACAAACGGAATGCGGATATCATATTTCGTTCCTCCGACGGCGTCTTCTTTCATCTACACAAGGCAATTCTCTCACTCGCGTCCCCACTCATGGAAATGATGCTTGGTATGCCACAGCCGCTCATACTCGACTCCTCAGATCTGGACGACCTCTCGGGTTTGCCAGTTGTCCCTGTCTCGGAAGGTAGCCGCATCCTCGATCCTTTGCTTCGCTTATGCTATCCCACGCCGGACCCTGTGTTGACAGACGCGGGGATCATAGAAGCCGTCTTTGAGTCCCTTGAGAAGTATGAGATGGAAGATGCGAAAGAGAGACTCAAGAAGACTATCCTGTCATGTGCGTCAGGACAGTGTCTACCTGACCAGATGGCGCGCGTGTACGCCATTGCGTGCCGCCTGCAAATGGAAGACGTCGCTCGTGACGCAGCGGTCGCAAGCTGTCGTTGGCGAACAGTCAATTACGTCCCTGAGATGGACAGAATCTCCTCTGGGGCGCTGTTCCGATTCCTGGAGTATCGCCGCGAGCACCATCAGGGATCCCATCCGACGACGCTCCAGCAGACACCTGATATTTCCCAGAGCAGTCCAGACGGTGGCGGGCTGTCCTTGGCTCAATCCTTCCCTCCATATATCCTGAACAGCCCTTCTGCAGACGTGATTTTGCATACGTCTGACGGCGTCGACTTCCGTGTCATAAAAGCGATACTTTGCTTGGCATCTCCGGTTTTCGCAGACATGCTTCATTTAAAAAGCAGGGACAGCGATCTCCGCCCTGACGACCTTCCTATCGTCAATGTGTCCGAGGACAGTGGAACTATCGCGAACCTCCTTCAGGTCTGCTACCCAGTGGAAGATCCTGACATCATAGACGTCGACTCCGCGCAGGCGCTTCTCGATAGTGCTCTCAAGTATGAGATCATCATCGCTATTCGTTTCGCGAAGGCGAAATGGAAGGAGGCTCTTACTAGTGATCCTTTCCGTGCGTACTTCATCGCGAGGTCGAAAGGCTGGGTAGACGAAGCGCGCGCGGCTGCGCGAAAAGCGGCCATTCTTGCCAGCGACTACTGGCTTCCAGAGATGGAGGAAATCTCTGCAAATGCCTACCGAGAGCTCCTGGACTATCGATGGACGTGTCAGCAAATTGTCTACAGTCGCGTCCATCTCGATGATGCGCGGCGTCATATGAGCGACGCGCCTCGTCATTGGAGCTGCCTTACGTACGGTGATCCCAAGCAGCGCGAATGTAACATCATTCGCCTTCTCCTCAGCATCAACCGAAGACTTCCAGACGCGGTTGCTGGTGCTGACGCTGATGTCCTCGTCGCTACTCTCATGTGGAAGATGATTTGCGATGGGGCTGGTCGGCACTCAGTAGAACACAGTATATGGGACGCCGAGGGGCTCTTGAAAGACCTACAAGATGCGGTGCAGCAGGTCTGTCCGTTTCCTCGGAATACGCGGATTCGTCTGATTTCATCACATAGATCACAGCTCGTCGTTGTCAAGCTACTATCCCAGAGCTTGCATTGAGGGCTCCACCATGATATGGTCGAGTGGAAGTGGCCGCGGATCAGCGCTGACAGCGCTGTGAGGCATCATGCCTGGCTAGAGCATATATGCACTCTTAGGAATGCGTTGTATTTTACATCATCGTCGTATGGAAAATATTGCCCGGCTCGTGACTGTAAATATGCCACGCTTTGACATCAAGTTGCGAGCTTTGTATCAGGTACTGATTGAGGTGTGAGTAGTGGCATCGTTAATGCTCAAATGAAAGCAATGATATATGCCGACTATTTTGCGCTAATGATGGCACACATATATATGTAGCTAGGTCATGAATATACATCATATGACTTATCAGCAGTGCAGTCTCCACTAATAGCCAGAAACTATCACATCTGCATCTTCTTTTTCATGTACATGATCCATGTCTGCATATGCACGTTCAGTCACATAAAGGAATCAGTTACTTGATTCACATTGATCCCCAGTCAGTGGATAACCATACCTTGTGTGGAATCACCAGGGGCAAAAATAATAGTTGTATCATGAGGAAAAGATGCAAGAAAGAATGGCAATGTGTCACAAGTTGCAGCCTGTTCATGAACCTTCTGCAGATCTATCATAAACTGCTGCAACAGCATTGATGACACCCTGAAAATGATGATAAGTATATAATATGGTTTTGTGTAAAATTGTGACAAACGGGGCAATCATATAAATCAATGAGGATGCATATTCCTGTACCACTGAATATCAGCTATAGTATTGTGTCAATTGTGCATTGTACATGCCTGTTGATTTCTATCAACAATTATAACAGCCAGGTTGAAAGCCAAAAGTGTTCTACAGTTGTGTAAGTTGTTGGGCCCTTGGAAATTATACCCATCTTACATGAAATAAAATGTTCCTGATTATTTCGTGATCAGTCCAATTTCAATGGAAGAAAGGGACACATGGTGAAAAATATACTCACCATTTTGTACAAGCATAGAAGTCAACTGCAGCTGCATACCAATCGCATTGGCTGTTTTTCTAAAGCTGTGTGTGCAATACCATGTTACAAGCAGGACCAATGTGTCACTGATGATAGTAGAACAGCGTATAACAATGTCAACTAGAAATATAACATTCAGAGCAGAACATTATGTTGATTTATATCACCCACATCTATAATTGTATAAGTCAACAATAAAGATGCATCATTTGCGAGTTGCACTTACTGAAAATACAGTGTGTTTGAAAAGTTTGGTGTTTGATCACAGGTTGGCATACCAGCCAAATAAAACACATAAGCATAGGATTCAGCACTGTATAAATACTAATTGATATATTAGCCATGTCACAATCACTATCAATCAATGAACAATGAACAATAACATACTATGTTAAGGGGAACTGTTATAACTCCAAATATGAATGTTGCCAATGCAATGCTTTTGTTCCCATGGCTAATGGCATAAACACGCAATACTGAAAAGCCTGCATAAAATCAGTAATGTAACAGATAACTTTCAGCTCAAACATACCAATTGCCATTACATACAACATCAATAATGTGACATCAAACATAACAATTGTTGCCTCACAGCTACAGACCAAAATTCATGTTGATGGTCAATCAATCATCAAAGTTTGAGTTAATGAAAGCACCTCTGAAACAATTATTGTTACTGATGAATAATAAAAATGCATGAGCACTCACTGGTGCTGTGTTCCAAGGAAAGAAAGCAATAATATTGACACATGCATATAGCAGAAGTGAGTATCGGTTGAGTAGCATGTTCATTTTTGCTTTGCTAGGCTTCCTTGACCACATGAATTGCACTTCTTCTGAAATGGTTGTGATATACTGATATATGATAGCAGCTGCGATGCTTATTGAAATTCGGATTGGCATTCTTCGGCAAATCACTTACCTATGATAGCCATTTCACAGTAGTTACCCGCAAAGCTGATGGAACTTGGAGTGTTACAAATAAGAACAAATGCCAGGTTAGATCACTTACAAATCCTTCAAGATTTGCTCGACAGTAGCAGTGTTGCCAGACATCGGGACCTTGTGAAAAGGATTAACAACAGTAGACCAAGGAGTTGACGGAATTGACGGTTGCCAGAGTTCGGTTGCACAAAACCTGAGTGCTTATATATGTCAGTACGTCATGTGCCTGGTTGAGCACATCTCCGACCAGGGGAACTGACCACTGCATAGCACGGCTTTTTCAAGCAACAATCAATCAATACGGACCAGCGTCCATCTCTGTACTGTTGATCTGAGCGCAAACACGCACGATTCGCTGTGCCCATCACTTGACCACTATGTGATAAACAAATTCATCAAACATGATCCCGACCTGAGGTCATACTTCTCTGCCGTAGATACCCATGACATATAGCTAAAGGAATGTATGCAAACCGATCAAAGCTTATCGCCATACCCGTACTAAGAGCCGTCGAATCTGCCCTATTCTGCTTGCGTCGTCCTGAACCGGAGGTGTAGCGACTGTAAGCTTAACCGTTTTTTTGGCCATCTTCGATGTACCCGCGGCGGCATGACGGCGTTTGTAATCTGCGGCTGATTCTAGGTCAAGGCCATACTTCCATATGCCGCGACGATTAGCTCTGTGGTGATGTCAGACATCTGGAATACATCTTAGACAGGAGGAACAAACGCACTGCGCCTCTGCCTGCAGACGTAAAAATTCCGCACTACCCCAACGTCCGTACTCGGCACCGGCTTGCTCGTATGTTTCAGCCCACCCTGCGCGCAGCATCTCCAGCGAGAGATTTCTGCCGGCCACAAGGAAGCCTGGGAGGAAACGCGGTTTGAGATGTACCTGAGATACCTAGCACGCCAGGAACAATTGAATTGGTGGACTTCTGAACCCACGATCCGCGGACTTACTATGCGACCATACTGGTCTTTCCGTATTAGTTGACAGTACACAGTCTGTCCTTCGATCTGTCCCTTCAACCAAGAAAGGGACTCCTCGGCAAAAGGCTGTGCGGAATTGCCGAAGTGCGCTGCCTATCGGACTTAATCTGACATGCATTGAAAGAACACAAGGGAAAATGGCACTGTACCTCCGGTGCATCTACTCCCGCCAAGCGAATATGGATGGTCTGTTCCCTCAGGTCTAGAGTGCATCTTTCAGGGGTAACGATAAATAGAAAAGTGGTTTTGACGGGCCTTTCCGTGCAGGTACCAGCCTGAACTTCAGCGGCCATCTCCAGCCAAGACCAGGCATGTGATACAGACGGAAGTTGTCAGCGTCCCCAACACTTGCGGGGAAGTTGTCAGTATTGATATCCACGCGGTGCCATTGCAGAATTAGGGCAGTATGTGGTTGTGTGGCTGATATAGCTTGCCCAGTACTGACCTTGTAACGTATCCCTTGATCCACCGCCTTCGCTTCAAGATATCAGGCGTGACCCACTCTGCACTGGATATTCGCTTCCAATAGCGTCGATAGATGCAGCGTGCACTGATTGTACCAGCGGAACCAACACACAATGCACAAAGAGCCAGTAAGTGTGGGGGAAGTGCGGAGACAGCGGATTCCAGTTCAGAGATGGCAGTAGCGGCTTCGTCACGAAGTCGACGAAGCTGCAAGTCAGGTGGAGATTCTTTCGTGTTATGCGCTATTTCCTCCTGTCTCCACGACCATGGAGGAGGAACCATGTTTCTAAACGATGTAGATGAGAGAGAAAGTAATTGCCGCACACAGCACGGTTCGACGCGCGCTGCATTGCAACCCTGCCCGCCGCATTGGGCCCCGTGACCCAGGCTTTGTTATCTGATAAGATTGCTCGACCTCTCCGGCGGAGTCAACGGAGGACGAGCATGTCTGACATCGTCCACGATGACCACCCGCGAACGCTCACGATCCTTTTCGCCACAGAAACAGGTACAGCCCAAGAGATCGCTGACCGCGTTGCTATGCAATGTCGCCGGATACATGTCCAAGCGAGAATTCTTAGCATGGACTCCTATTCGCCGGTATGCACTGAATTGCCCCTGACGGGTTTGGACTTACTCCCGGATCATAGGCTGAGCTGATATCAGAAAAAATGGTTATATTCTCAGTCGCGACTACGGGCTCAGGGAAGGAGCCACGAGCAATGTCAAGGCTGTGGAATATGCTACTACGCTCCGATCTCCCAGAAGATCTATTCGAAGACTTATCTTTCGCTGTCTTCGGACTTGGAGACACGGCGTACGAGAAGTTCTGCTGGCCGGCAAAGTTACTCTCTAGGCGTCTGGCCAGCCTAGGTGCAACCGAAATCTCTGCTCGGGGAGAAGGCGACGAGCAGCATCCTCTCGGGTTTGCCTGGCTTCTTTGTACGTGAGTTAAGTGCTAACAAGCTGTCATTCAGAGTAGATGGTGCATTTGAGCCATGGGTTAAGAAGCTCATAGAAAGCCTTGTGCAGATATTCCCCCTACCACCTGGGACGTCCACAACGCCAGAAGACGCTTTACCGCCACCGCGCGTGTCCGTATCAAAGGCCGACCCGTTGGAAATCGAGCCACCTGACCAGATCTTACTCGGTGATGAGACGTACGCCTCCGCCATCGTCTCTTGTAATCGCCGTATAACTGCAGATGATTGGTACCAAGACGTGCGACATTTTGAGTTTGACTTCGATATAGATATCCAGTAGGTTTGTTCATGCTAAAATCTGGAGTTCACTGCCGACATTGGCACCACATAGGTACAAACCAGGAGACGTGGCTCTGATACACCCGGAAGCTTCCCCTGCGGATGTGGAAGACGTTTTGAATACGTTGGGCTTTGCCAATGCCGCTGACGATCCGATGACGATCCGGCATGTACTTGAAGGTATCACTATCAATCATCAGTTTGACATCATCTTATCCACAATGCGTCCGTTGTCAGATCAATCGTTGCCAAACCACCTGCCTCGAGTCACTACGTTGCGAACGCTTTTCACAAGATATCTTGACATCTCAGCAGTACCAAGGCGATCATTCTTCGCCATGTTGCGCCATTTCGTGTCGGATAAACTTGAGGAAGAAAAGCTCGACGAGTTCTTAAGCCCGGAGGGTGCTGTAAGTGATGTGGTGCCCGGCCTCGCGCATGTTGCATCATCACGAATTTGACCGATCGACGTCAATTTTCTATTAGGACGAGCTCTACGATTACTGTCAGAAACCACGCCGAACTATCCGCGAAGTACTGGAGGAGTTCCGTTCGGCCCGTATACCCAGAGAATACATATTCGATGTTTTTCCCATTTTGAGACCACGCCAGTTCTCAATTGCGAGCTCTATGAAGGCAGGGTTCTATTCCGCCTTCTGTTTGGTAGCCATTCTCTGATCATAGCGCATTTTTTCAGCGTCATCCCCGACAGATCCACCTCTGCATCGCCATTGTGCGGTACAAGACAATGCTGAAGGTACCACGCCGCGGCGTCTGTACTGACTACCTCGTGCACCTCAAACCTGGTCTGTGCACTGATAACCCGCTCGTGATGGTTTCGCTGATTGCAGTTGAATTTCAGGGGACAGATTGCCCATCGGACTGCAAAAGGGCCTCTTTGCACTGCCCCCAGATACCGCGACACCAATCATCTGCGTTGGCCCTGGCACGGGCGCAGCGCCAATGCGGTCCATCATTGAGGAACGGACGTTCCTGGGAAGCATCGGTGAGCAGCGCCTTGACCTCTCCCCCAAAATCACCGACCACACCCGACGTCCGCTAGTTTTGACATCAATATATACGAGAACCACTGCTGATACCCATCTGCTTCCATTCTAGCGAACACCTTGTATTTTGGCTGCCGTTCGGCCCACAAGGACCAGCACTATGCCACCGAATGGGAAGCCTATGTCGTCGCAGGATCTCTCACGTACCGTCCTGCGTTCTCACGTGACGAGCCCGAGGGCGCCCCTCGACGGTACGTCCAGGATCTGATACGTGAGGACTCGAAGCGCACATGGGAGCTGCTCGGCGTGCAGCGTGGATGGATTTATATTTCTGGGTATCAAGTTCTGTCCTGCCCCTTCGAGAACGTGTTGACTAAGACCATACACTGCAGTTCCGCAAACAAGATGCCCGCAGGCGTCAAGGCCGCGATCATGCATGCTGCACAGACTGAGGGTGCAAAGACGAAAGAGCAAGCACAGGACTTCGTGTGGATGCTGGAGAGGGAGGGGCGGCTCGTAGAGGAGTGTTGGAGCTAGACTACAGGCCATCATTCTAGACGCAAGAAGCGAGAATAGTCAAAGTGTTGCAGCTGAGTTGAAGCGTGATGTAACACAGTTTCGCGCGTTGTCATCCGCAACTACGCCGGACTGGTTGATAGCTATTCAGCTATGTTTGTCCTAGAGGGATTCCGTCAATGACAGTGCGCGAACACAAGGCGAGATTCTAGAAACCAAGATAGCATATATTCTCGCTGCGCATTGTGCCTCATGAACTGGCGAAGGGCCATTGTATGCAAAGCCCATCGGGCCTGAAGATATAGCAAGTGAGCATACAAAGATCCTGGCCTAGACATTGCTCGCGCCATCACTAGTCATAGTCACCGGCAAGTGATGATCTTCGGACGAGAGGCTCCTTCCCATGAGGCAAGCTCAAAATAATCAAGTCAGTGAAACGGAAATGTTACCTTTACAACGCATAGATTCTGCAGAGGCGCGGATGGTACATCATATGTAATCACACGAACGCCTCCCCGGGGCTGCATGACGGAAGTTCCAACTGCCTTTGCTGTCAAGGAACGCGTATACATTATTCAACGATCGAGCTGTCTGGAGACCTTGGATATGCTTCCTTGCAGGAGCCTGATGAGATTGTTTCAGCAGACGGCCGTTCGAAAGGATCGTGTCTACGAAGATGTCAAAGCAAAAGAGATGTCTCGGCCAGACCCTAACCATAATGTATGGCTACAAGCTGAACGCAAAGTCATCATGAGTAGTCGAAACTCAATTTGCTTACAACCTGCAGTCTCGCATCTTTTGTGTTTAAACCTTTGATCATGATCTATCGGTGCTATAGCGCAGAACTGTAGATCGTTTGCATTGTGACCAGTCATGTCTGCTTGATCCGAACTAGATAGGGCGATTCGTTCTCAATGTTCCTCCAGGTCACACGGTGCTTGGAATCTCTAGTCTCAGGCTCCGTCAAAACTGCGGATGTGACTTCTGAGGTGCATTACCAGTATCCTTAGAACGACATAATCGCAAGCCATGCGTGTCAGTATCCTGGGCATTCTGGGCAGTTTCTTGTATCTTGCTTTCACTCTCCGAGTTGCTGCGCAGAGTCATGAAGGTCAACAGAAACTATTTGCATTCCGACACTCCAACAACGCACACGCTACAAAGCATATCATCACACCAGAATTCTCAAGATTCGTAGAGGACCTCTTAGAGATTGCGAATATCCCAGGCTTGACCCTCGGAATTGTCCACACCGACCGCGAGGCAGAGCGATTGGTGGAACTTGATGCCTGGGGTCGCAAAACGGAGGAGGGGTTCGGGCACGACATGTCTCCAGACGTGAGTATACCCTCAAAGATCCCTCGCACGAGCATCCCTCGTCAACACCAGTCTAGACGTTGTTTGCGATTGCCTCGTGCTCCAAGGCATTCATGGCGACTTCCCTCGGACTCCTCATGGATGACTATGCAAACGGGCGAAATGTGACCCCTCTTCCAAGAAGTGTTGCTCAGTTCGACTGGGACACCAAGGTCCGCGACCTCCTCCCGGACGACTGGAAGCTGGAAGATGAGTGGGCGAGCGAGATGACGAACATCAGGGACATGCTCGGCCATGTTACTGGTATGCCGAGGTGAGCCATGTTCCGCGTCCTGTATAAGGGCTAGAGAACTGATGTATGCCCAGGCATGACTACTCCTACCAGCCGGGTGATACACCGCAGGGAGTAGTTCGTAACTTGAGGAATCTGCGTCCCGGTTACGAACTTCGGAAGAAGTGGTCTTATAATAACCAGGTACTTGGTTCGTTAAACGCCTACAATTCTGATCGTACTTCAAGCCTCTACGCGCTACGTGATGCTTTTCAGAGGCTAATTTGTGACTACGACAGATGTACATTGTTGGCGCACACTTGATTGCGACGTACGCGAACATGTCCTACCCGGAATTCGCATTATCCCGCATATTCGAGCCACTGGGCATGGCCTCCACCACATTCTCACCAGATGTGGCGCAGAGATCTGGGAAGCGGACGCAGACGTGGACTAAATTTGGAAGACGGATATCGTTCTGGTTCACAGAAGAAATAGCACATTTGAAGGCGGGTCCGGGTGGCATCATCTCCAGCGCGCAAGATCTGGTGCGCAGGATCGCCCATTTTGCATATACACAGACGATCAAGATACTGACAGAAAATGGACAGACGAAGTGGGTCACGGTACTCCTCAACGCCGGCGTCGAGCCAGTGTCGAACACAACCATTATCCCACGCTCGGTCTTTGACGAGATGACCACTGCACATTCTGTAGTCTATGGTTCGTCTCCCGCGCCAGACAGCTCACTGATTGGCTATGGTATGGGCTGGGATCGCTGGTCGTACCGGGGACACGAGGTAATTTAACGTGGTATTGTCATGTTCGCATCTTGACACGATTTGTAGATTGTCGCACATACTGGCGGCCTTCCTGGTATCTCTACGCTGGTTGCATTGCTCCCTGACGATGGACTCGGGTTGGTTGCCCTGGCGAACGCAGACGAGAAAGCAGCGGCCGAGCGAATACTCATGGAACGTATTTTGGACGACATGATCGACTTCCCTGAAGGCAGCCGAGCAACATTTGTTGACGCTGAGTATGCAGCCTTGTCGTGCAGGAAATGACATGACTGATTGAGGTTGCACGCAGGCGATACACTAAGCTTGAGCTTGGTGGTTCCACAAGCAAGGAAGTTCGTGGGGCGGCTCTGTGCTCCTCGGCCGGTTCAGCGCCTTCTCCGGCTGAACTTGAACCGTATGCGGGCACATACGGCAATGAGGGCTACGGGGCCATCACACTGTGTGCACCGTCGAGCGACTCGTTCTACTGCAACGACGTCTTTGGGGACTTTGCTCCCTTCCGTCCTGATCCCGCTGTCAGTTCGCCAATGCTCCTGGCCGCATACCCGCGCGTGTGGACGACGCATGTGCGCATGATACCGTGCGACGGCGAGACTTTCGACCTGGGGTTCACGGCGCTCTTTCCGCACGGCTACGGGCGGAATACGAGCGCATTCGAGACCTTCGAGACGGGTGACGCGGAGGGGCAAGCTGTATTTGTCGTTGAGGAGAAGAACGGAAAGAAGACCGTGAAGGGCTTTGGGCTACTCATCGATCAAGATGCAGTCGCCGAGAGGAAACGGATGATTGGTACTTCGGTTGAGCAATACGCGGACGCGTGGTTCGAGAAGGTGTAATAGTGCTAGCATGGTAGAATAGTGTACTTCTGCTGTAACCTGTACACTATGTATTGTCTATGTCGTCAGATGTCTGTCCCTTCCCGCGAGAGTAATCGTCCGTCATACCTGTGCGCTCAGGAATAAGTGCTTATAGCCGGAAGGATATCACGATCTCAAAACCACACTGTACAGTCTGCACTGATAGCCCTCCCCACGGATGTATCATCATTCGTTTGCGAAGCCTAGAGACATCAATAAATTAAGATGCTACCAGAACCTGGGAGATGTATCTATCTCAGGCATTAATACGATAAGCATGGGCCCGCAGATTTCGATGTGCGGCAAAGGTGGAGCAGAGGCTATGGCGAGATACAGCAGCGGCACAGGATATCAGGTTCCAGCACTCACAGCGAATTCGTCGCTCCATCGCAGTGCCTAGACGCTCGTCTCGCCTTGCGCCCTGTCGCCCGAGTTACTGGCCATAGTTTGCTTCGCAGCACCTGGTGATGAGACGTAGAGAGACTACCATTCAATTCTCCACTTGAGCTTGTATGCAGGCTCCTGCAGGGAGGTCTATCGCTATCAGAATGCGGTAGTAAATCCGTGTATGATGTGGCAATCCACGACCGCAGTACAGAACCAAGCAATAACCGCAGTTCGCGAGGATTGAGATATGGGAAACACTCTGAATTATCATCATGTCGATCGGATAGAACTCCGAGTACATAAAGCTCGTGGGAAGCCGCCACGACGCGACGCGACAAGCACACGCCACAGACGCGTTTCGGTGCCGATCTTAGTCCTGACCTGACGTAATGTATATAAGGGAGAAGTACCTACTGCTGCCTGCCTAACTTGCAGTCTACGCCTGCATACTCCTCTCAGTTACACTTGGATTGTATCCTCACGACAATGCCTGTGGCTCGTAGTAAGATCACGTGACCCGCATACACATGGATTGTGCACCAGAACGTTGTCCTTTGCAACGTCGAGTACCGTTTTCACCTACTGTGCCGACGATGTCGAATTCTTCGCAAGCGTACAAACCACCTTCCGCAGGAGGGACCTCGCGCGTTCTTGCAGCGCTCGATAATCCCGCTCTTTTCTCGATGTCCGCCGCGACCACCGCGCAGCTATCCCCTACACCATACACGGCCACCCAAGATGCACCTATTCTTGGCTTGAAGAGGAACTTCGAAGTCAGCTATGCATCTGGAAGCGGGGATGCCTATCAGAAGAGAAGGAAGATCGGTACCACAGGATTGGATCGAGAGAACCTACCTGGGTCTTCTTTTGGTGTGCACATGTCTTCTTGTGAGTGGCGGTCCTGCATCATCAGGAGCCATTATACGAAACGGAAAGACATATGACAATCTCTGCAACAATATATGCAGCGCAGGATGGTCGAGAACTGATTCAGTCGTACCTGCCCGACGCCGTATGGAAGTTTCATCACACATTCATGCGTTTTGCGCCTACAGCTAGCTTGCAACAAATGTCGCAGCTCGTGGGACCAAGCAGCACTCTACCGATCAATAGCAGTACCCCCACAATTCAGAGTGGCGGGTTTGCGCTCCGCTATGACAACGAATCCAGCATTTCCGTCATTGACAGAGGTGGCAGAGACCAGGACTTGAGGTAAGTGTATTTCATGCGCCAACGGGCCCTCTTATTCCTAACAAAACTCAATGGGATTCCAGGATGGCAGAGTTCATCACTAAGGCTATCGACAACTCCTCTCACGGTGTAACCGTAAAATCCGCAATGGAGAAACTGGGTCTGCAGAGGTGCGTATCACGACTCCAGCCTTGCTTATGTTGCTAACCTGCCTTTAGCAAGAGAGACTTGCTTCCTGGGTTGGAAATCCGACTTTTGCCTCATCAGCTGATAGGTGTTAGCTGGTATGTTGACTACGTCCGTTTTCGCTCTCGTACGATCCCCTTATATTCATTAGGATGATTGATCAAGAACGCAATGGTCCTCACAAGGGTGGAATCCTCGCGTGAGCGCTTAAACCATCATTTGAAACGCGTACTGATTATACAATATCAGAGATGAAATGGGTCTAGGTACTTAGAACAATACTCATCCGTATACAGGCTTGTCTGATAGCCCCCATAGGTAAAACGGTACAGATGATCGGCACTATGGCCATGAACCTGCCGGATGAAAGAGAGCAGCACCGTACAACATTGATTGTCGTCCCAGCTGCTCTACTTCTTCAAGTACGTCTCGCTGCGCTTTCGCGCGAATGCGCCGCTAAGTCCATGTCCTATAGTGGAAGGAAGAAATTGAGAACAAGACGAATGGACTTTTCACAGTCCACATCCATCATGGGCGTGACAAGCTTAGGAGCATCCATGCCATTCAGGAAAAGGACGTCATAATCACCACATATCATACCCTCAACTCGGACTTTGCAATGCCTGACGACGTCGAGAGCGGTGGGGAATTGCAATGGCTGCTCGACAACGGGTCTGTACGTTCGTTTCCTGAAGAAGAGTCCTTGCTCATAATCTGCAGGGGTCTTCTTGCGCGCATGCGGTGGTACCGTGTTATCTTGGACGAATCCCAGTTCATTCGCAATCGGTGAGAATTTGCGCATCTGGTTTGCGTCAAGTAAACTGAGCAGATCTCAGCGCTACGCGATCAAGCAAGGCTGTCGCGATGTTGCGAGCTAAATACCGCTGGTGCCTGACGGGCACACCGATCACCAATACACTGTAAGCTTACACGTACACGATCGCGGTTACTAATGTCTCATGGAACAAACCCATTAGAGCTGACATCTACGGTTACCTACGTTTTGGACGATTCCGTCCCTGGAAGTCAGTTACAATGGTTACTACCTCGACTAAAGCTCACGGCTCACGGAGGATCTTAGTGACTGGGATGCCTTCAACGAGCATATTGCTAGAATTCAGATGCAAGACGCTCCGTTAGCTGGTACACTCGCTTCCATAGTACTGTTCGAAGCGCATGTCTGATGGGGACTCAGGCTTACGTGCACAAGAGGTCCTGAAGCCTCTCCTTTTGAGACGTACCAAAGATGCAGATCTTGTGAGCGACGGTTTCTAATCATAGCTATATATCTGATCGAAGCGCGGTCATTGATAGGAGGGAGAACCACTATTGCAGCTTCCTGAAAAACACATCGACATCGTTACTTTGGAATTCTCGGAAGATGAACGCGAGGTATGTTCGTGCATTCGTTTCCCCCATATATTGATGTCTGACTTATCGTGCCAGCTGTATGACAATTTTGAGAAGCGTGCTCGAATTCAAATTAATAGGTTTCTCAAAGACAGCAATGTGGTCAAGAAGTGCGTGTACTAGTGCTTACACTAACGATCTATGACTTATCGTCGCATCGAAGCCACACTGCAGTTCTTGTATGTTAGTATTTGTTTTCAAGCTCAAGGTGACTGAGAATCCTGCACCAGGTGTTGATTCTCCGCATGCGACAATTATGCTGTCATCCGAATCTGATTCTCGTGAGTAGTTAAATGCTTGTAGACCGCTCGCAAGTTCAATTTCCGCCGTCCAGCGCCAAGCCGAAGGGTTTGAGGATCCGACCTTGCTGGTAGGTAGCGACGCGGACAAAGAGGTAGCTCGCGCGAACACCATGTTGGGACCTCAGTGGGTCATGGAGGTTTGGGAACAGCTCATCCGTGTTTTACGATCGTTCGTGCTTATATATATTTGTTCACAAGGTGAAGAAGAGGTTCGTAAGACGACTATCTTTCTCCTAGTGTGATGAACGACAGTCTCGACAGGTTCATGGCGCGTGCCAAAGCGTCTCAATTGGAATTTGACGACGAGATGGATGAGCCTGAACCTACCTGCCCTGTCTGTGGTGATCGTTAGTATTGCAGTCCAGCAGTGACATCTGTCTAAAGGCTGACATGCTGAGGGTTGCAGTGTTCATGAACGACAGCGGTCGTCTGTTAGCTTGCGGACATGAGATCTGCGCTGGTAAGACATGCACTCTGCATCTCCCGCCAAATTGGGTCTCAGATCGTGCAATAGAATGCTTACAAGTCTTGGCAACCTCACCCATCGTTCATAACGGAGAATTGTAGGGGTTGAAATACTTGCGGGGACTACTACTATTCACTCGTACACAGCGGTAATGCCGACGAGAGAACCAATCTCCGTATCGAGAAGGAATTCGAAACGGCTGCGGCAAAGGGGCTTCGACCATGTTTGTGGTCTTGTACAATTGCATACGGGCCAATGCGCTAACGTGCGAATTTCTCCAGGCCCGACGTGCAAGAAGATGATGAATCTGCGCCCCGACCATGTGTTCCGTTCTCTGGCGTTTGAGCCGTCTCAAGACGAAGTTCGCAACGCCCTACGTCGTGCGGACAACGCCCGCCGACGTGTCGCCCCGGCCGCCCCGAGCCGCCCGGCTCTGAAGAAATCCGCTCGTTCCCGACGAGAGATAGAAGAGCTAATTGAGCTGAGCTCGAGCTCGGACGAGGATCTGCCAGATGTGGCGGAGTTACTATCAGCTGTTGCGTCTTCATCGCCGAAAGGCAAGGGCAAGGTTGTCAAAGACGAAGGCGAAGATGACAATGTCAGTAACAATTTTCATGTGCAAAGGATGGCTAACCATATATGCCACCAGAATACGGATGCTGATCTGACGATGGACGAGATACGTGGCAAGGGAAAGGCAAGAAGGCAGGGCCGCGACTCGTCTGAACAGCCGCACGGGATGTCAGACCACCTGATCGCGACATGGAAGAGAGGAGACAACAACCTGGAGCCAAGCACGAAGATGCTTGCGCTGGTCGAGCACCTCCAAGAGTGGGAGTCGACTGGGGACAAGACCATTGTCTTCTCTCAGTGTACGTGACACATCAACCGATCTGCTGTGTAAGGTCATATATGTGTTCATTTCACAGGGACGTCCATGTTGGACTTGTTGGAGACGCTCTTCTCTCGTTACGGTATCCGCAGCCTCCGCTATGATGGCAAGATGAGCCGTGAGGCGCGCGAACTGGTTTTGTCGCAGTTCAGGAAGTCCGGGGGGCCCAAAGTCATCCTCATCAGGTGTGTATCTCTACATGACTGTGACTTTTCTGACAGCGCTATCATTCCAGCACAAAGTGTGGAGGCGTTGGTCTTAACTTAGTCTCTGCTAATCGCTTAATCAAGTCCGTCGTCTCCACTCGTCCCTTTGTATTCACATCATAGCATCCCATTAGCATGGACTTGGGGTGGAACTACGCGTCTGAGTCTCAGGCGTATGACCGGGTGCATCGTCTCGGTCAAGAGAAGGAGGTTTTCGTTAAGCGTCTTGTTGTGCGCAACACGATCGAGGAACGGTCAGCCAGAAATGCTCCCAACTGGAACATTCCTAACATATTCTTCTCCAAACTCAGGATGCTCAAGTTGCAAGAGACCAAAGTCGGTTCGTATCGAGCACTGCTTTGCAGTTGTATATCCGAGTATATAAATACATTATATTCTAACGCGAGCCCTTGCAGGTCTAGCAGAAGCGGCTCTTGGTGAAGGAACGGGTGTCAAGCTTCATAAACTCAGTGTGAAGGAGCTGAAAGATGTGAGTGCAATGCGGTCATGAAGACATCCACTTACGCGGATCGAGACACAGCTCTTCGGGATGAATAGAAACGACAACAGCAGCCAGTCAAGGGAGGACGTGAGGGCGCCTTGAATATCCGACTGCTATGACCGACCTCAAACTCGCGACCCACTACAATAATACGTTAGTCAACCTCGGTCGACTGGACCCATAGGCGACCAGACTGATATTGTTATGCTTCGATTATTGCATCATATTGTATAGCTCGCCTTATGCGCTGCCTTTGAGCTTTAGTAGTTTCCTCGCAATAATGTACGACCGGATCTGAGAACTGAGTAGTTACAGGGCAAGCCGACTGGGCGCTTCCGGCAGGATGTGCTTCTTAAGATCGACTGGCTTATTTTGTCCTATTGCTGTCTAATGGTAGGCGTTCGCGCTCTTCAGTGCTATGTTGAATGCAAACATTTTCATAATACGATGTGAAGCCTATGGAGGAAGAGATCTGTCATACAGGGATGAAGATGTCATAGGCAATGTCCATAAAAGAACGTTCCACGATGGCGCCTGGCGCCAAATAAATCAGCGCGTAACTCGATCACGTGCCGACGCGTTGTTGCACGCTCGACATTCGCGGCACCCGGACGACAACCACTTCAGCTCTACACGCTTGCGTGACACATCAAAGGCGCCGGCAGATCAACCACAACGATATGGATGGCTCAAAACCCGGAGAGGCAGGCGTATTAGCATGGTGCAATAGCATCCGTTTCAATATGGCCAGGGACCCGGGGAGGCAGTTTCTCCAGGAGCAGATCCAAAACAGCATGGACTTCCTTGATAGCTACCTGGATAATGTTTTGACGGGCCCAAGGACTGAGTGCGTGGTTACTCATACCATCTCTCAACAAATCTTACACGTGAACTAGGTCGGTGGCGGAGCTACTGAAGACCCCGGGGCGTAGAAAGACTGCTCCTGTGAGAACGAGAGCGGCGGTCGCGGCGGCGGCGAAATTCAAGGCTGTAGTTTCTCTGGAGGTGTGTCGAGGTCTTTTATACCTCACGTTCGCTCACTCCTTTAGGAGGACCACATTACCGATGATGAACGTGCTCCTGTGAATAGCTTCCATAAGGCCCTTCTGGAGGCCAAAGAAACGCACGAGCCTGCAAGCATTGTTCCTCTTTCTGCAGCTCGCAATGCCTCGCCGCCGCGTGCTAATGAGCCAGAAGGCGTTCCAGATGTCGCTGAGCCAGCCGCCACGGTCCCCGCGCTTGAAACCGACTCGCAAGCAGACGTCATCCCGCAGGAAGGTGCATTTCCAACGCCCTCCGATACTGGGGTCAAGGAGCTATCGATGATTGCCGAGGACGACGAGCCGGCAGAGCGTAGCCGTCTGTCAGGCCCTCTTCCGGTGCCATCATCTAGCACTGCTGCTTACCCTGAGGCGGCCGACGAGGATGACGCTGACATGGACGTAGACGAGGTGGTACGTCATGATACAACATCAACATCAGCGACTATATTCCACTCCATTCCTCTTGACTCGCCACAGGCAGAGCACGAGCAGCCCTTCGTCACCCTACCCTTGGACAATCATCTCACAGAACCTCTCCCTAAAGTCCCGCGCGAGATTGCATTCCATGAAGACATGTACGCCATGACTGCGCCACTACCCATCGTGTCGTCCGCTGATTCAGATGCGCGAACGAGTGGGTTGGCCGTGCCGATCCGCGACGGGCCGACCTCATCGGCATCTGCGCCTTCCTTGTCCAATACACCAGGTCTGTCGCAACTCGGGCTTCCAGCACCATCACCTCTGCACAAGATGAGGGAGCCATCGGTGGGCACCGCATTAGGGACGGGTCCAGTCGCTGGTGGTAAACGGAGCTCGTGGTTGGTTAAGGCGCGTGAGGCGAAGGCGATGGAGACGACAGTGAAAAGGTTTGGCAGCGCTGTAGCAGGCAGTGTGATTACCGCGGCGCTGGGATCCAAGAGGAAAAGTGGCGAGATGCTCGGCTTTTCAGCAATGTTGCAAGCTGCAGGTGAAGGACCGTATAGGACAGCAGAAGATGGCGATAGAATGCAGAAAATCCCCAAGCTCAGTGGGGCGCCGGAAGGGGTGATTGACTGGAAGGACAAGGGCAAGCAAGTGGACGCGGACGAGATGCCAGTCCAGAATCACCATACCAAGACGAGCCCTGAACCCACCACCACGCTCTTCGCAGCCAGGCCCGACGATGTCACTGTTCCTCTCAAATCCTCTGATGGCGACGACGCGATGCTCGATCGCTTCAAGCGTACCGTCGAAGGTCTTGGTGCTCGCTCTGCGAAAAGCATGGGGAAGTCTCTAGGTGGTAATGCTGCCGCCGCCCTTGCCGAGGCACGGGCAGCTGCTGAGGCACGAGTCCGGGAGAGAAACAAGGCTGAGGACGGACAAGATGTTTCCTCATCTCCAGATACCAAGGAGGCGCTCGAAGGGGCCGCTGGCCAAATCTCCCTGCCGTTGGCCGCTGCTGTGGTTCATACTCAGGCCGTCCCAGCTGGGGCACGTACATCGAAGGAGTCTGATAGGAGGTTGAGCATGTCCGATCTCGTCAGTTCTTCCGAGAAGGATAGGTTCCCAGGCGGACAACCGACCAAGTTTGTCTCTGTACTTGCGGAGTCCTCGGAGAATGGCGGTGCGACTGTCGACACCAGTACCTCAACGACACCTCCGACGACACCGCCTCCTATGCTCAAGGTGGCTGCCCCGCCTACGCGCCCTGCCCCCGTCTTCAGCAAGCCTGCTCCTGTATTTGTCGCGCCTCCGGCTCCGCATCCGGCAAGTCAGGCCCCTCAACCAGTCGCATCAGCCGGCACCAGCACAGAATTCTCATTCAAGTTACCTACCGCCAATCCATTCTCTCTTCCTGCAGCTATGACTCTTGGTGTCCCCGCATCATTACCTTCTTCCAAAGGCCAGAAGGAACGCGTTCCCTTGTCTGCACAGTCGAGCAAAGCAAGCGTTTTATCGGACGCCATCTTCGACAAGATCGAGGATATCCCAGCTTGGATGCCTAGAACGCAGGATACAGAATACTCTATTCGACCTTCACAATCGCAGCCACAGGGCCGTACACAGGACGACAACCTCGACGACGACGATGACAGCTGGCATGTCGATGAGAAATTCTCCGCTAATCAGATGTGGACACCCTTCGGGTTTGCGAACGCGGATACAGATGACACGTGGAGTACACTACCGAGCCGGAGTACAAGTCAGAAGGGTGCAGATACAAGAATCGCAGCGGACACGCAGTACTTTACGACGACGACAGCCGCTCAGCCAACGAGGGACGATGAGCGGCATGTAGAAGCCACTCATGAAGGAGAAGCATCACATTTTATTCCAGACGCACTCGGTTCCGGATTTGCACCTGGGGAACATGGCGAAACGGACATTGTAGACGATGCGATGGAGATTGACTCAGATGGCGACGAGCTACAGGATGATGCCTTTGTTGCGGTTGCGGCCGGAAAGTCTACCGTGAGTCTTGTGCAGGTCAGTCTCGGCCCAACATTGTCTTACACGACCATTCACCGATTTTGTACAGACGGAGACCCACACAGTGCGGAGCCAAAGCCAGCAGTCTATGGCATCAACGGCGTCATCGTCGCAATCCCAACTTGGGTTTTTCGGGCAGGCCTCGAAGCTCGTCAGCAGCGTGCTCGGCGGCGGAAAGAAAGCCAAGCCTGAGCCAGTTAAGAGCCTGCAACTCGCAGCTCAAGCTGCCAAGAAGGTCACATTTTACATGGCGTATGTACTTCCGAATTCTTACACGCTTTTCTACAGCAACAAGAGGAAATCGGACGCAAAGCGGCGCGTCTCAAGGATATGGAGAATCGCCGCCAGCTCGCAATGCAACGGAAGGCAGAAGAAGATAAGGCGCGCGCTCTCGAAGAGGAGAAAAAGATCAGGGAGGAGAACGAGAAACGGAAGAGAGAGCGCGAAGAAAACACGGATAAGCGGCCTATCAGAGCCGTCACGAAGAAGGTAATTTATTTTAGGGCTATCAGCGCGGTGCAGTTTCTGATCGTCATATTATCGCAAGCCTGATGAGGATAATACCAAGAAGCGCAAGCTTGCGCCTGAGCAGGAAAAACGAGTGGAATCCAAGAAACCACCTTCGAAAGACAAGAAGGACAATATCCCTCCGCCTCGCGTTGCTAAAGCTGGCCAAAGCAGCGCGCCAGCATCATCAATGAAGATCGGCCCGCCTCCCAAGTCCGCCATGAAACAGGCGGCGACGGCAGTTCCGACGACTGCCACTGAAACAAACAGACCGACGCATACGGCGGAGCCCAAATCGACAAAGACGATAAAGACTATGCCGTCGTCCAGTAATCTGAAAGCGGCCGCAAAGGGCAAGGGTAAAGCTACTATTCAAGACACAGACGACCAACCGCCTACTCGCGTCGTCCAGAACCAGATGGCCGACCGCGCGAAGGTGCAGATGCAGGCGGCGCAACCGCCCCCCGTCACTAGCGAAAGCATCGAGCTGCCAGACATCAACAGCGAATATTCGGACTCAGAAGATGAGGATCGCCCACGGACGTTCGACCCTCCAGAATGGGCGCAGTCGCCAGAGCTACGCCAAGCGCTGCAGCAGCAGAGCACTATGAACCCAGACGACATTTTCGGCCGTATCGGGCCATTACGAATGGAAGATATCTTCCGGACAAGGCAGAGTCGATTCAGGGCACGCACAAGCTCCGCAAACTGGACGGGGACAGATCAATTGACTGCAGAAGAGGAGCGGGAGTATGCTCGTCGGATGGGTTTCAAATAAGAAACACCCGCCTGCAGTGTTATGCTACAGTTCACTCGATTATGTGTTCGATCTTGGTCTGTTCCTTGTTGCTGTCCAGTTTACATGTTGTGTAGTTGCTCTGCGAGTACGGGGAGGATTTGCGCGATGACTCTACTGCGAGCATTGGCCTAGCCTCATCGCCACTTGAGCACATGCTCGATGATGGCATTTGAGCTGTGCTGCTTGAGTCAATCAATCGCGACGCGACGTATGTGTTGTCAATTCTTTCAATGCACCTCTCATAACGGCCGGATGTCCGCAAAACGTCGCAGCGAGCCACGTCGTGCGGTCGTTGATAAAATTTTAATTGGTAGTGAATCAGGAGTGAAGGGCATCGTAATCCCTATGTTTGGCACAGATATTGGTCCACCACAGCCACCACAGCCTCTCGCACATCCAAAAAGTCGCAGCTTTCATCGCTGCGTCGTATCCTCTCACTAGCAGACTCCCTTTTCTGTCCCACCCTCCACGCCATGTGGTTTTGCCTCGTGCATAGATACACCGTCTCGTATTGTTGACCTTGCGTTCTACGGCTCAGGAGTGGATATGAACATCCAGATGTTTTGCGCCTTTTTCATTTCCAGTATCCATCGCAATCTCGACAAAAGGATCTAGGTTACACGATCAGCTTACGATCTGTAAGTTGAAGGGATCCTAGATCCCATTGCCCGGAAATCCATTCTCGATATACTTCTTGACGTCATGTAGGATGTACGACCGAGAATCCATCTCCCTTCCCTCATCAAGCTCGTCTGGCTCAGGTACGTTCATCACCACCTGGAACCAGTCATCATACAAGCGATTGATGAACGGGATACAGACGTGCCGCATCTGGTACCTTCCTGGACTGTTACCTATCGCCCACCTTTTTTCACTGGGATGCGGAGGGAGCTCGTGATGCTGTGAGACAGTGATATGAGTGCGCCTGTGGGGAGGTAAGATAAAAGGCGATGGCACATGTGCGCACCTCTATAAAGAATTTGCAGACGAAAGCACAGACTTCTTCTGCCAGCTTCTGCATGGTGATGCTAGTTCCGTCTTCATTGTAGACTCGGATGTGCTGAGAGGGATAGTTTGCATATCCAGGCCACTGAAAATGCCTCCGTGAGACGGCCACACCATGACATGCCAAATGCGCCACATACCGTGATCATGATTTGGATGTGGTCGGAGATCTGATTTCTCAACCATGCGAAATCCGCCGGTGTGTCTGGGTACTGTAGCCTGAGGTAATCCCGAGTATCCGCATCGAGAATGGGGGTTAAGATGTTGATCCCCTTGCACTGGTTCGCTATACCCCTTCGGTCGATCGCCATTCTGAACACGTAATGATCGACTTCCCACCGTAAGTTAGGGGGCCAGTGACGCTGTGGGACGCGCATGAGTACTGTGAGGAAGACGAGTCGGTGAGTCAGTGATGTTGTATACGGCAGTCGTGGAGGGGGGAAAATGACAGTGTGCGCAGGAGGATGCCTGCATGTCCGTTATTTATAGTATACGAAGGGACGGTGCAGATGAGCCACTGAGAGATCCATCAGCCGCAGAGTGTGCTCCACGAGGCAAGCGAGTACAAGGTCACCAGGTGGGTTGGGAACAAAGCTAAGCAGTCACAAGCGAGTCACACAGACGTTGATTGCGCACTTTTTCTTTGAACTCCGCGTCAACAGAACTACATATCATCATTGATCTGTCAATAGAGGGCATTCAGATGCTGTTTGTGTAAGACTGTGACGGGACACTCAGGGAGCCGGAATACTCACAGACGAATGTAATTCAGCCCGTGTGTCCACCCTGACCCTCCTCTGGGAGGTAGGAATGAATCAGTGTTCTCTAAGGCGATGAGCAGACGCCATCGATTTCAACAAGACTTTCCCGTGGTAGCCACTGCAAGTGGCAGCACGAATATGGATTTCCGACTTGCTGTTGAAGTTGAAAACGCTGAGTCACCATCTACACGTCCGCGAACCGTGTGGCAAGCTGATGACATGGGTCGTCGGGCTCGTTGCTATGCTGATGATGTCACGTCATTGGCGCCCGATCTCGATAGCACTCTTAGGCGCGCTAAACAACTGGCGCTGCAGGCCAACTCCCTTTTGCGTTCGTGCTCGTTTGACTGCGTAACGTTGTGCTTCCGCCTTTCCCTTCTTCTCTGTGCCTATTTTTTTGAGCCATTGAGCTGCCGCCAGCAACTACAAAATGCTCTCAGCTTGTGAAGACAGTCGGAATCAGTGCTCCCGGTACAGAATCATATCCCCTGCATGGTCCACCTAGCTATCTGTTCATCAGGATTGTGTTTTTGGCACATATTAGTTCTGAGAATAGGAAGTGAAGCGCTGATGCTAAATCAGCTTCACAACGGTGTTGACTTTTGGGTATGTCGGGCAAGCTGTCACGAGTTGGTACAGCGCCTAGCCGTTTTTTAATTTTTCCTTTTCGCAGGCTCGAACCCACGACCTCTATATTACATGCCTGATATGGATGCATCACTATCTACTGTACGATTAGATTAGATGGGGCGGCAGCGCGCGGCACAGCTCGGGCTCTGCTGACACAGCCGCTCTGACTCACCGGCCCCTGGGGTCACGTCAGCATGCTGTGCACGGACCAGCTGTGCACAGACCAGTGCGCACAGCCTCCCCTAAACTTCCCCTGTATATAAGCTGGCCTCTGCTGCCCTAGGGACCTCAGTTTTGACCTCTTGTCCCTAGGTCAGTAAGCACTCCCTTGTATTCTTTTCTTAACTTACTAACTAATGCATTTACTTGTCCCTAGCCTTAGGTTTGAGCTTCGTTCACCATCGCTTTGGTGAGATTCAGTCAGATGCCCCCAGCTTTAGGTTTTTCCCCAGTCGCTTGACCCCAAGTTGCGACATTAGGTGGAAACTCCCCAAGCTGCCAGTGTTCTCTTGGAACCCACACATTCACTTTTCCTTTCCTACAGGTCGGGTGGTGCGCACCCTTACAATACCATATGATATGTAGATAGCCTACGATACATCGCCACCACTTGAGGAACAAACTCTTTGGTATCTGCACTTCAGTGGGCGATACCTGTCCTCATGGACGTGTGGCTTAGGTTCCTGCTGCATAATAGTCAAAAGCAGTACTGGGCCCCACGTGAACTGCGAACCGTAGTGTCTTCTTGGGCGCCATAGGTGTAAGCTAGATTAGCACGGCCTTTGGTAGCACGTGCACCTCCCCTTCCTCCCCCCACCACCGTGGCTGACAAATTCTTTGACTGCTCTCGACTTGAACACACCTTTGACACCCAGGAGCAGGTTGACGTCTCTCACGACAACTCAGAAAGCAACAGAAACCGAGCCCCTTTCTTCGTCTGTGATCGGCAACCGTGCCCTAATCGTACTCCGCGGTCCATCACTACTGACGAAGGGCGCTACGTGCCAATCTGGCAAGTTCAGCACCCCAGCGGCCCAGCACTCTGATACGCTAGCACTTCGCAATCCACATCTCGCCACATCACTCCCGTCCCATCCTGACCTGCCTCCCCAGGCACCCGCATTTGTCGCGACTTGGGGTCAAGCGACTGGGGAAAAGCCTAAAGCTGGGGGCGTCCGACTGAATCTTACTGAAGTGATGGTGAACAAAGCTCAAACCTAAGGCTAGAGACAAGATAATATATTAGTTAGTTAAGTAAGAAAAGGAATACAAAGGGAAGCTTACTGACCTAGGGACAAGAGGTTGAAACTGAGGTCCCTAGGGCAGCAGAGGCCGGCTTATATACATGGGGAGATAAGGGCAGGCTGTGTGCACTAGTCCATGCGTAGCTGGTCCATGCACAGCATGCTGACGTGACCCCAGGGGCCGGTGAGTCAGAGCAGTGATACGACCTACGAAACCCTAACCCCTAACCTGGGTGCGACCTAAAGGGACTAGAGAGACGGCTTATAGTCTAATGAGAGGGGAGTTAGCAGCAAGGTGTCCCGCGGTTCGAGTGAACACGAGAAACGCCCTTGGGAAAGGTTACGAACAAACGGGTAGGTACGAGGTGGCTTCGACACGTCGTCGAAGCTACTCGGAAGCTGTGGAAAGTTAGCGACGATCGAAGCTCGGCAGAGCTCTTCGATGTATCGTAGAGGGAAGGGACACGATTCGATAGGGTGTACTTAGCTAGGGCGCGGTTCGCAGTTTCTTCGACAATAGTCGAAGTCGAAGGGTTCGTCGAGACGGTATCGACGAGTAAACGCAGTGGACGAGGTTTCGAAGTTACGCGGCAAGGGACGAAGTGACGCAGTTGAGGACGTAGACGCAGGGCGAACTCGACTTATGAGCTCTGAACTCGAGGGGGGGGGGAATCAGATCTTGTATTTTTGGAGAGAAGTACGACCGATTTTATACTACACAGGACGCTACGACTATTCGAGAGTGGCATACGAGTACAAGGGGCTTTGCATTGTTCCTCAAGAACCTACCTCACCGAGAGGCACATACCAAGTCCATCGGTAGAGTGACGTCATGCCGAACGCGGAGATGAAGAGCAACATATGGCCACTTCGGACCGGTAGCCATTGTAAAGGCATGCCGCGAGGTTCGATACCTAATCGGGAAAGACCGGCTACTTCGGTGTGGCTTGGAGCGAAGCGCGCGCTTGGCCGAGCGGCGTCAAGTGGCCCTATTGTTCGCCGAATGCGGAAGATGTTCCGAGATCTACGCACGAGACATCGGGAAGACCGTGCCGAGCTTCGAGTAAGCGTCGCGCACCGTCGAAGGTGTCGAAGAGCGTCGAAGGCGAAATCGAAGTGTTGGGGGACTGAGTCGAAGTGCCGGGCGGGATGCGAGTGCCGAAAAGAGGTGAATCGGGGCCCAGAGGGGCTTGGCGCCTATCAGCGGCTGTGTCAGCAGAGCCCAAGCTGTGCCGCGCGCTGCCGCCCCATCTAATCTAATCGTACAGTAGATAGTGATGCATCCATATCAGGCATGTAATATAGAGGTCGTGGGTTTAAGCCCGCAAAAGGAAAAAATTAAAAAAACGGCTAGACATCGTGTCAGCTCGTAACATTACCCCCCCTCAACGGTGCATGACCTCATGTGAGGCCCCCCGGCCCATCTCCCATCTGGAGCAGCAGTGTGCTTCAGTCAGCGGTGCAGGCATTGGCTGAAAGTTGAGACCACCAAAGGTAACAGCGTTAAGGCGGCGAGGGGTGTTCGGATTCTTCCAGTGGAAGTTGGCTATGAGGGCCAGCGCATTCACAACATTGCGCGCCGGTTCCCATGACGTATGCGAGTTGTCATAACCCTTCCACTTGACAAGGTACTGCTGTCGTGACTTAGGGTCAAGTGACTGGGGAAACACAAACAAAGGGTACTGGGGGTGTTCGACTGGGTCTTACCAAAGCAATGGTGAGCTTACACTCCAACCTAAGGCTAGGGACAAGTTAAGTTAGCATAGGAAAGTAAGTATGTACAGGGGCTTACTGATCTAGGAACAAGAGGTCGAAACTGAGGTCCCTAGGGCAGCAGAGGCAGGTTTATATACAGGGGGTATTTAGAGGAGGCTGTGCGCACTGGTCCGTGCACAGCATGCTGACATGGCCCTGGGGGTCAGTGAGTCAGAGAGGCTGTGTCAGTGGAGCCCGAGCTGTGCCACGCACTGCTGCCCATTTAATCTAATCGTACAGTAGATATGATGTGTCCGTATCAGGCATATAGTACAGAGGTCACAGGTTCAAGCCCGCAAAAAGGAAAAAATTAAAAAAACGGCTAGACGCTGTACCAACTCGTGACAACTGCAGCTGACGCCGGAAGATCCATGAATCCTTGATCCGTTCAACCTCGTACTCCTTGTCGCCCTCAACCTCGATCATAGGTGGCTCCTCCGGCTCCCGGCCCGGAATCTCGCTACGCGTGTACTTGCTCAGCAAGAAGACATGGAACACCAGGTGCACCAGCACCAACTTCGGCAGAACCAATTCATAATCTAAATCTCCGAGCTTTCACTGCACGACATAAGGTTCGAGGCACTTGGGACTGAGCTTCTTGCTCGGCTGTTTCAGCTTAAGGTTCCGGGCGTCAAGCCAGACCTTGTCCCGCGGTGCGAAGACCGGTGCCTTTTGCACGTGCTTATCGTAGTACACCTTCATGCGCTCGGCTGACAGCTCGAGCGCAGAGCGCGTGTCATCGCGGATCTCCTTCAGGATTTTGAGCTGATTAGTGGCCGCAGGCATCGCGGACATTGGATTGATCCGCACTTGGATCTCAGGATTGTACCCTTGATGCAGGAAGAATGGGGAGTGCCCAGTCGTGGAGTGAACTTGGTTGTTCAGTGCGAACTCTGCAAGCGGTAATTGCTTTGCCCAATC